ACTATCTGCATACGAATTGCTGGGCCTAGGTTTCTTTGTTCCCTATTCCCAGAGGTTGGATAGGAGTAGGACTGTGGGTCAAAAAGAGAAAATGTAATGGCCTTGCGCTATATATGTAATGTGATCTAGAACTCTGTGCTTGTTTGAGTCCTTTTCCACATCAGCTTTCGTGGCAAAGACAAATTAATATTTTTCTAAGAGAAAGTTATATTTATAAAAAATTTATAAATGGATCGTACCTGTTTTTCTATATTTGTAACTTGCAAGGTTCGAAGCGAATACGTATCAAAGATTCAGATTTTCGAAGACTCATTCGGCAAAGGGAAAAAATAATTGGGGGAGGTTTGTGAATATGTACCGTGAGGGACTGCTCCATGATTGCTGCCAAAAGTTGACTGCACTACTTCACACGTATTATTTTCCCATATAAAAACAAAGTGTCTTTTCACAATAATATAAAATTCGATTATTTGTACCAAAAAGTTAAGAATAGCATATCATAATGTAAATTTTTCAATCAATCGCTTTTAATTCCTGAATTGATTAATTTTGTTAATCTTGAATTGTTCACGTTAGTGTGTATATTATTTTGTTCGAACAAATCGCATACAGAATTGTAATATGGAAAAGAGAGAATTGAAGAAATAATAGAAATACAAATTTATCCTAATTCATCCAGGTGAATTATATTAAGATTCGTTACAAAAACACTCTGCTTGCAAGGTTTTATAAATAGGTTTAGAGGCCCTAAATAATAATAGTTATTCATGAATTCAATCTTAAATTATTAAAATATATATATAAAATAAATTAAAAATTCACAACAATACCAAACATCTGCGGTTCTAAAGGTGTTATCCACATACCAATATCTCACCTCGACCTTTATTGGTTTTCTTTATATCTTATTAACAAAAATCGTCATTTGAATACCTCAGCATATATCTTGTAAGAGAAAATTTTGAGAAAATAATAATAATAGAAAAATTTGTCCATCTCAGCAATGATACAAGTTTTGGTGCTCTTATGATTTTCAATAACAAATACCAAGATTTAACATAAATTGAATGGCTCTTAAGTTCTTTACCCATAACTTAAAAAAAAAAAATATTTACCAATAATAATAAGTGCTATTTCGACACATATGCATGAATTTTTAAGCAGAGTCCCCATCTCAAAATTTTCGTAATTAATAATTTTGATTTCCCGACTTTTCTAATAAATTGATTGCCCCACTTTTAGTCAATGGAAAAAGGAGTCAATAGGCTAAAAGCTAAATGAATACGGAGTGGATTGTATTAGTTAATATGATCATGTTATGGGATAATTCTAATTATTTAATAGGAGAATATTAATGGTAATAATCTTATCATTTCATATTTTAATCTCTTTTTTCTCTTATTTTTTATCACCATTAATTTTTTTATGAATAATTAAAATCTTTTTATATGATATAATTATGTTAAATAATACGTTAAAAAATGCATTCTCGAATCGATATCATTATAATCATCAATATGATGAGGGGTCCAACTCTAGATTCGAAATGATATCACCCTCTCAAAAAATCTGTCCACTCTCCCTTAAGATTATTGCACGTCCTTTACTTGTTGTTTGGTGTATAATCTGTCATTTTTATATAAAAGGTGAGTTATAAATAAAATCACTAGACGTTTAGAATATAATTAGGATGAGAGATAGTCGTTTGTCACCAATTATATAAAACGTAAAGCAATTTGAATTAATCTAGTAATAAATAATGGGTGCATCCATTGTCCTGTTATAAGATATTATGTAATTCATTTTTAACAATATATTATCGGAAGTATATAGTTATAATATTAAAGTTATTATTTTAATTATATATTTTCAAAATTACATAATTAAAAAATAATTGTAGGAATAAATAATATTATTTCTGTAATATAATTTTTATATTTCTGATAAATAATTTAGGTAAATTATATAAAAAAATAATATAACCTCAATAATTATCTAACAGGACGGTGGCGTGCAAATGCAACCTTTCATTTGGAATCACTTTCCACATCAGCCACTATCATAATAATATTAATCACAACAGCTTCCATTATTCAGAAGATTGGGGACGTGCTCAATAATATTCTGTTTGGTCACCTAAGCCATCAAAAGCTACACACCCCACACATTTATTCTGGCTGGTCTTTTCCATCGTACAAAAACTTTGTCCTCTTCACATTTTTTGCATTTTTCTAATCAATAAAGCATAATATTTATTTTAGGTTGTTTTCTTCGTACCCAATCAAAGGATGACGAATGAAATTTTAGCCACAACTACTTTTTTGAATAAAAATCAGCTCTAATCACCTAATCAAATCTATTGTCTTTTTGAAAGTTCAAATTTTATCATTTACTAGACTTGTAATTTTTAATGAAGTACTATTTTAGCGTCAATTTTTTTTGCTTATTTTTTTTCTAAAATTTATTTTTCGTAATTTGACAAAAATAAGTTTTTTTTTAAAAAAAAATTCTTTAAAACTTTTTGACGTAATTTATTTTCCGTCAAAGAATTTCGACATAATCTATTTTCGGTCAACGATTTTTGATGGAATTTATTTTTCTTCAAAAGACCTATCTCTATTTTTTATGGAATTTTTTTTCATTTCTATTTTTAAAGGAATACATTTTTGATAAAAAAATTCATCATTAATTTTAACGAAAAAAATTTCATTGATAAATTCCGTTGATAATTGGGACTTTTCTAATAGTGATATAAGCATGTATCAAATATGAGCAAGTTTACTAGTGTTAGAACCATAGGTAAAATCAGAGAACATTTTCAAGATAGAACTTATGATGCACCGAAGATTTAAAAAATTTGACGTGTCGTGTCCGACACTTTTTGACACTCCAACAGGCATTGCAGAGACTCAAAAAAGAGTTCAAAGGTTGCGATGCATTTTTAGTTCCAACTATTAGGTTCTCGATTACGATTACCATTTTATTGAGTTTAATGTAAATATTTCTAATATTTTATGTTTCTTTACCAAATTGACGGGTGTTATAAGTTTAGCTTTATTTTTTGTTAAATTATTAAATATTAAATATAATATACACTATATAAATTAAAAAAATATTTAATATCAAAATGTGTCTTAATGTATCAAAATTTACTATTTTTTAGAGTTAACTTGTCGGAGTATCGTATCGTGTCGTGTCGTATTTATAACATAGGACAAAACATGTTTCAAGTTAGTAATAGGACAAAAAATTGTTTATAAAGTGACTGCATCTAAAGATTGATGCAGTTCACTATGTACTCCCGCATAGTTATAATAAATACTATAACTATGTACTCCCAGAAATACATTAGAGTACACCATTTTTCTCTGGTGTATTTCCAGGAGTACATAGTTGACCAATCCAATTCTTAGATGCAGTCACTGTACATCCAATTCTTAGAAAGTTATCACATGTAACATAAGAGTAGTTTTTTTCTATATATATATATATATATATATATATATATATATATATATATATAGGGTCAAGATCATTTTACACCAGTGTAAGTTACACTCTCAATCTTGTCCGTTGATCCCACTTATATCTAATGGTTCAAATTTTTTAATAATGTGAGTCTTTAGATACAAGTTGATCAATGGTCAAGATTGAGTGTAAGACTTCTAATTCTTACACCGGTGTAAGAATAATAAGTCTTACACCAAATCTTAACCATTGATTTTCTGCATCTAACGGTTAAGATTTATTAGGTTTCACTCATTAATTAATTTTTAATTCCCAATAAATCTCAACCATTGATGCACGGAAATCAACGGTTAAGATTTGGTGTAAGATTTATTATTCTTACACCGGTGTAAGTTGATCCTATCCCTATATATATATATATATATATATATATATATATATATATATATATATATATATATATATATATATATATATTTCAAGCTGGTATACTGCCGTCTGCTGTACATGTTTCATGTCAGCAACTTAATCTGCCATAACGGAATTTGTGTTAATAAAAACAAACTCAACTTAATATTGAAATTCCTTGCTGAATATGCTAATATTTTAAGAATTTTGTCTGAGGTTTCAAGAATTAATGGACTAATGTTAAATAAGTAAAAATTTCTAGAGACCAAAATCAATATTTCAAGGATTTAATGTTGGGTTTTAAAAATTTATATACTAATATGAAATAAATAAAAAATTTCTAGGTTTAAACTCCAAAGTGTGGTTTAGCCTAACAAGAAAATGCGTACATCTAAAAGAAGTTAAGAGGTACAAGTAAGATGGAAGTTGTGGAAAGTGACCTATTAAATAGGGAAAAACAAAACGATTTCGCGTATAAATTAGAAACGTGAGCATAATGTTTGAATTTTCATCTAAGCATATTGAATACTGAGTTCAATATTAATTTTGTAAAAATCGATGAATATTTGCTTAAGTTCTCATCAATACCGATAATAGCCTTTTTTTTTTTTTTTTTTTTTTTTTTTTTTAAAGCTTTCTCATTACAATGCAATTTTTCTCTGTTTAAAACATTTTTTTTTAAGGTTTGTTAATTCTCATTGGCATTGATGAAGAAAACTTATATATTTTAAGGAAATAACACATACACGTAGAACTAAGGAAAAATAATATGTTTGTTTAAAGTTTAAATGAAAAGGGGATCGGGCGTGGAACACTGACTAAAATGTCACTGTTCATCAAATTTTTTGTCCAAATATCATGCGAACAAGGGTAGCGAACTTGATACTTGATGTCTGCTGCTAGAAACGTGACACATCAGCAAATTGAGTTCGCTACGGTGCCCAACAACTTGATAAACAGTAGTATCGGGCGTTGTGATCTGTCAGATTATGATTGAGAAGGAGTAAAGTTGTGGGACCCAGGACACCAACAACTACTGACTGTGTTGGCTCGGAACAAGTGGCAGGAACAAACTATAAAATTGATTGAAAATATCTGAAATCTAAAGTAAATCGAAACAAAATAAACGACAGTTATATAGAAGATTTCGATTTAATTTAAAATTAAAACTGAAAAGAGACGAAGGTAGCAACAGTCACGCTGGCGGTGAAGAACATTTCTGTGGCGGAGGAGGAGGAGCAGCTTCCGCTGCTTTCCGATGCTGAGAATGACAGAAATGTTCAAATCCCAGACACCGCACATCAGATTAGCACTGGTACCTTACTTCTTTAACTTTATTAATTACTTACTCGATTGGGTGTTCCAATTTAGATATACACAATTTATAAATGAAGTTTCATTGATCAGGAAATTTAATTATTTTCTGGATTTTCTTCCTTGATTTACTGTTTTTTGTTTTTTTTTTGGTTATTATTATTAATTTATCAAAATGAAAATTTATTTTCTGCAGATTCATGGTTTCAAGTAGGGTTTGTGCTGACCACAGGAATCAACAGCGCTTATGTGCTTGGATATTCGGGGACCATAATGGTTCCCCTGGGTTGGATAGGGGGTGTAGTTGGTTTAATTCTTGCCACAGCAATATCCCTCTATGCAAATGCTCTTATTGCTATGCTCCATGAATTTGGAGGAACAAGGCATATTCGATACAGAGATCTTGCTGGATATATATACGGTATGCTATGCCTTACTCAAATTAAGAGATAATAACACAAACTGAACCCCATCAACAATTCGCTACTAGCAACTTAGTTTCTCATGCCATTCTCATTTCAGGTAGAAAAGCATATTCCCTCACATGGGCTTTGCAGTATGTCAATCTTTTCATGATAAATGCTGGCTACATCATTTTAGCTGGTTCGGCTCTCAAGGTAATAATACTAATTAATCCACCGTGTATATCTTACGTAATACATCTTCTGTTAATTATGTTTTTGCTTTGTGCAAGTCATGATGAAACTGTTTATACAGATTGGCCTGCTTTAAGATTTTTCTTGAATCTTGTTTGTTCATTGTCGTGCAGGCAGTTTATGTTCTGTTTAGGGATGACGGTCTGATGAAGCTTCCATATTTTATTGCCATAGCTGGATTTGTGTGTGCAATGTTTGCTATTTGTATTCCCCATCTTTCGGCTCTTGGAATTTGGCTGGGATTTTCAACAGTCTTCAGCCTAGTATATATCGTTATAGCATTTGTACTGTCACTTAAAGATGGTAATGTCTCATGTCTGTTATGTTTGTGTGCGTGTGTGTGCCTGAGTACTTTTATCGTACAATGGCTTGCTCTTGATTCTACACCGCTAGTTCTTTAAATCAATTGCCCTTATTCATCTACTTCTTCGCCAGGGTTGTTAACAATTTCTATCAATAAGTCCGATGCTTGTTTTTCTTTTCTCCATTGCCCCTGTAATTGTTCATGTTCATGTTATTAGCAATGATAAAAATCTTTTATCTGAATTAGGATAACTAGTGCTCTAGCATACATCATCTGAAATTCCTGTTCAAATCTTACAAGTTAGTTCTTTGAGTTTTTGCGTCCTGCCATCCCTAATCTGATTATCTTTTCACTTTGTTTTTTCTTTTTTCTGCTTAATTACCAACGAACGTAATGTCACTCAGTTGTGATTTTGGTCTTCTGCTGGTATTATGAGGGCGGTTATTTGTTTTATTGATAAAGGATATAAATAGACCTTAAAATGCCATTCTTGTATGTAGTATTTCAGCTGATGTGTTATTTTATATGCTTTGATGATAATTTGTTTTGAGGAATTTGCATCCCTCATTGTTAATTTATCTTTATATATTCACCATTTGCTATGTCTCAATGCAAGCGATAAAGAATTTTTGGAGAACTAGCAAATGAATATCAATTTATTTTTAGTAGTTTATAAACAATAGCTAAACTACTCATTTATTTATATACTCTAATACAGTTCGAGTCATATTACAGAATGTTCAGCATACAGTGATAATTAGCATCTATTTCCCCCCATTTCTCTCTACCCTTGTTTTGAAGACTCTAATTGGGCTGTGAGCATTCTCCTGACTTATTGAGAATCACGACAATTGCTTTTCTGTGCTTAATTTTTTGAGTTGTTTTCACCAGATAATTTCAGTGTGAATTTGCAAACTAACCCCCAGTGCATCATTAGGAATAAAAGCACCAGCTCGAGATTATAGTATTCCAGGGACATCAACAAGTAAAATATTTACAACGATTGGGGCATCTGCTAATCTTGTGTTCGCATATAATACAGGAATGCTTCCTGAGATACAGGTAAGATGCAAGCTTAGTTATTCGTTTCTTGAGTTTTATGTGGATTCATAACACTTTTTCATAACTCCGTGTGGTCTGGAAAGTGAGTTTTATTTGGTTGTAACCCCAACAGGCAACGATCAGGCAGCCAGTTGTCAAGAACATGATGAAAGCCCTATACTTTCAGTTTACCATTGGAGTTCTGCCATTATATCTGCTTGCCTTTACAGGATACTGGGCTTATGGATCTTCTACAGCAACCTACTTGATGAATAATGTCAATGGTCCAGTCTGGGCGAAGGCCATGGCCAATATTGCAGCTTTTCTTCAATCTATCATTGCATTGCATGTATGAGTCTCTTCTGCTCTACTGGATTTTTGCTGCTTCTAAATGTTTTACTTAAAATGTTCAACTCGCCTAATAACTTCTGTTCTGCTTCTGGTAGATATTTGCAAGTCCAATGTATGAGTATTTGGACACCAAACATGGGATCAAAGGGAGCCCACTGGCTTTTAAGAACTTGTCTTTTCGAATTTTGGTAAGAGGTGGCTACCTGACTTTAAATACATTTGTATCGGCTCTACTGCCATTCCTTGGAGATTTCATGAGCCTCACAGGAGCGATCAGCACATTTCCCCTTACATTTATTCTTGCAAATCATATGTACCTAGTGGCAAATAAGAACAAACTAACATCCATGCAAAAGCTTTGGCACTGGCTCAACATTTGTTTCTTTGGCATTATGTCTCTTGTCGCAACTATTGCAGCCCTGCGGCTTATTGCTTTAGACTCCAAAACGTACCATGTTTTTTCGGATTTATGATTAAATTCATCACATTCTTTCAGCAATTCTAATGCTGATGTTTTGTGCTTCAGATATACTTTCATCAATAAAAAAAAAATAGAGTTGCTTATATATCAGATTGTTTAAATTTGTATTTTGTTAAATACAACTTGCACTCTCACTAAATATCGATGATTCCTAGTAGTGAACACAGATTTGGGCTCTTAAGGTAAAAGATTCTAGAATGGAAAGACTAATTATGAATTGATGGACTTTCGTATAAGCCATTACGCTATAAATTATAAAATTTCGTTAGTGTTATTGGAGCAGCATTAGTTCGGACACATTACCAATCCAGCAAGAAGAAATTAAAAACAAATTGAGAATTTACGTAAAGAAAATTGGCAGATGATAACTAATTCTTCAAAAACAAATTCAACACCCACCCAACTAATGTCACAATCACAATGATCTCAATTTCTGACTATTTATGTCCCGATGGCAAACGCGATTTTTACGATAACAAATAACATCTATGGATCAATATCCAAAAAAAGATAAATACTTTTAATGGATATTTCTACAATAAAATTTGTCAAATTTTGCCACCTAACAAGTTGAAATCATCTGTCGAAAACTCCTGAACCTGCAATCATTAAGAAACTGAAAGTGTCAAAAGTCATGTTACGTTCATTATACCGCAGCTTGATCCCTTAATAAGAAAATAAACAACCATATTCGTTCATCTTCATAAGAGAAAGGAAGTGGGAGAAAAAGATGTTTAACTAGATGTTAAGGACTTAAGATTTGCTGACCATGCTAGCTTTTGATTATTGACTTCGCTGTTTACCTACTAGGTAAGTTTAAAATTACCGATTTTGGTTGAATCCAACGCAAATAAATGCCATAATTTCAAAAACAGCCACAGTTCAGCACTTATTTGATGTTGGTGTTCAACATTTAGAACGTATGGCACAAAAACTACTAATGACTCAAGTGGTGAACTAAAATCAGAATCTAATGAACTAGATTCAGTTCGTGTACAATTTGTACATATGCTAGACTGAAATATCCGTCAGAATGCTTCAAACATCACTTTCAGAAAATTACAGCTTTCATCTGAAAAGTCAACATATAATTCACTTTTATGTATTTTTTTTCATTAGTGAAACATAAGAAAAGCTCAATGTACTCCCATAATAACAGATATTTATTATGATTAAATTAAAAATTAGCATCTAATTTTATTTTTATACACTACATACACAAAATTAACAAAATTTTTAAACCAGACATATGTATTGACATCGCACCTTGCGAGGCATCATCCAGAAACCAACTTTACGATAATGAAGATGGAGTTGAGAAGTATGAGAGGAACTCTTAGGTACTGAGTCGCATATATGAAACCTATAAGCTGGCCTTTGAAAGATTTTGTCCTGCCGCCTGAAAAATCTGATAAGCCCCATCCTCTAGGTACAAGAAAGCGGTCCTCATTTAGTATTGCTAGTGCATTTGCAAGAAGCAGGAACCCCTCAAGTAATGTCCACAAACCCATTTCCCTGCATTGCAGAGAAATCCAACCCAACTTACAAATAAATTCAAGTCATTTGCAGTGCACTAGCTCTTTCATATGTAGTTCAACTATTAACAGAAGTAGACAATAACAAATAACTAAGACAACTCATATGAAGCTCCCTCTAGAAGGCTGGTGTTGATCACCCCTCAAGCTCCTCCACATGAACCATCTCAGTATAGATAACTTTCAGAAAAAAAGGGAGACTTAATTTTAATTCATCAAATCATATACGGTATCCTTAATATTCTTTAAATTAATAATTAATAATGAATTATGAAAGACTACTTGATTCTTTCAAATCACTGAAAAACTATGCACTGGCAACTAAGAATAAAGATCAAGTTCATTCTAAAGCATTGACTAAGGCATATAGCTGCCAGAAGCATCATATGAAATCATATATTAGCTACTCTAACACCAGTAATTCCTTCCGTTGACTAGTCTCTATTAACTTAAAAAGGCCAATGGTCATTGATGCAGCTTTGGAGGACAAAGGAGTCATTAATTATAACCATGAAATCAGCTAGCAGCATTATATAAGTGTCTCACATAACCAAATCCTAGCCTCTCTGACACCAGTTATCTTCATATTGCCTAATCTTTGGTAAAATAATGCGATCATAGATGCTGATGAAAAAATAATCATAACCATTAAGTTGACATGCGGCATGTTGTCCATGAACCTGATCTAGTAGATAACACTATATGTTGAATTGGATTTAAAAAGAGAATGGGGATGCTTCCATTGCCTGAAAAGTGACAGCTTCCTACGAATAGGGTTGATCAATTTCCCTAAGCTAAAGGCTGAAAATATTCAAAATTCCACTAACAATCATTTAGAGGACCTCAAGATCATTCCATAAAATTGTAACATTTTATAAATAAATTCTTACTCTCAAGTTGAAGAACTTCTAATTCAATTTTAAGTACAGAATACCAAAATGTAACGGTACTTCTCTTTTGCAACCTTCTTTTTTGTCTATAGTTTTTGTGCAAAGTACATACTTTAAACACATTGAAATAATTAGAAGGCCCAGGTGAAAACATTTTAAGCCATAGATCAGACTTCACGACAATAAAGGAACTCGGATCAAATAACAGACACATAAAACTAAACTTAACAAGCTTCACCCAAACGTTACAAACCAAAGACTGAGAAACAGCGCGAAGTCCTAGATCTGCCAACAAATTCAACAACCAAAAGTGCATATGACCAAAATGCTGTGATTTTTAAACGAAACGAACTAAACGAACACCTAAAACTCCGATTGAAAACAAGGGCAGGAAGCTGAAGAACAAGAAAAAATATATACATAGAAAAAACATTTCAGAAAAAAGAAAAAAGAAAAATAGGAAGAAGCGAATATTGAGGAAGGGAGAAAGTGGAGGAGATAACCTGATTCCAGAGGGAGCAAGAACGCAACGGTGGATGGCGGTGGCGGGTTCGGTGTCGCCGTGGAAGGTGAATCAGAGAAGACAACAAATGGCAACAGAACAGAGAGGACAGAATAGAGCCCAATCTCACCAAAGCGCACCGTTTTCTGCCAATTGCTTCGCATTCACTTTCTTTATTTTATTTTTTTCTTCCCTGACAGTTATGATTATATTCTTACACTCCGTATTATTTTTTAATAATTTTTTCATAAAATTAATGTTTCTTATGTTATAGTGTATAATTTTATCTCAAACAGAGTAAAAATGTATGGGACACATATAAGAGAAGAGGAAAAAATGAGTCTCACATATTTTTATATGTGTAAAGATAAAATTATCTTTTATAACATAAAAAATACTAATCATTTTTTATAGATTATTATGCTTATGGTTGGCAAAACGAGTCAACCGGCCCAACAAAAAATAAGAGTCGGGTTAGGGTTGGCTCAAAAAAAAAATGAGGCAGAAAACTCAACCCAACTCAACCCGAGTCGGGTTAGAGTTGGGTCGCGGGTTGGCTCAAAAATATTGTTCGTGGATTGGTTTGAAAAAATAGTTCGCGAGTTGGCTCAAAAATTGATTCGCAGGTTCGTTCAAAAATTACTCGCGAGTTGGCTCGTTTTCAGTCTATTTAAATGAACTTGTAGTATTAATGCACCAGCTATGTGGCTTCCAACAAATTAAACAAAGGGTTACAAAAGGAGAAATAAAAGCAAAATGTTCTAGTTTTAAATTTTCTTTACAACAAATTTGCATCAACATCAAGAAACAATCAGAACCACTTGCTACCAAGTGGTAAGATATTTGAACCAAATAGAGGCAACACAACCTAACAATATAATGTGAGAAGATAAGAGGCTTAGGTTTAGAGAAGGAAGAAAGACAATGGTACATTGTGTGGGTTTTGTCCATTTTTATATATTATATATTGTATTTTTTTATATTAAAAAAAATCTCAACCCACGAGCTGGCATGTTTGACCCGCGAGTTTGCAACTTATTTTTTCCAATCCAACCCGACTCATTTTTTACGGGTTACGTACGAGCCACCCCGACGTGTTGGCTCATTTTTACCAACCCTAATTATGCCTACCTATTTCTCTCCAACATCTTTTATCATAATGTCAACTGATCTTTATTTTTTTTCTCTCACATTGAGATTATAATATAATCATATTAAAAATGAATTGGAAAAGTAGGCGTAATACAAATGAGGTGTAGTTAGATCCAAAAAGATCAACGACTCTGATTTGCAAGCATGTGACACCATTGATCTTTTTTGATTTAACGACTCTCAGATGAGGTGTCAAAATTAAAATTTGACACCGGTGTCAAAGGATCCTACCTCTATATATATATATATATATATATATATATATATATATATATATATATATATAAAACATGTAATTCCTAATTTTTTTGTGAAACTAGTTAAATAATATTTTCAAATTTGTATGATGTTTTTAAAATAACTCAAGTTTTACACTTACATTTACGTAAATAAATTATTGGATTAATGTTTCTCTCATTGTTATCTCCTATATACAGGGATGTGCAAAATGTCCAATTCATCCAAACCAAATTAAAAACCAAACTAAATCAAATTAAAAAATCGATTTTTTTTAAAATCGGTTAAAAAATATATCCACTTCTTAATTTTAAATATGATTTGGTTATCCATTTATCAAATGGTTTGGGTACACTGAATAACCAAATCATATCCACTTTTTTTTTTTAATTTTAAATAACTGTTGAGTTTGACAACAAAATCAAACTTCCAACAGTTTGTCTAGCATCATATCCTACTCGGCTCAAAAAATATTCATACACCCATTTACATTCTTTTGTGCTAAAAATATTCATTGTATTTTTTATGCTGCGTGGAAACTTGGTTTATGGAACTTCAATTGTTTTGTCTACTACAACTGATAGTAATATGAATGATTTGTTCTTTACCCCTTGAATTTTTCTGGTAAGTGTAGAAGCTACAAAATGATTTGATGTATCATTTGAGGAAATATTTTTTAGGCTGGATACAAACACACATTACACAATGAATACAGTAACTTCTCATACACAATGTTTTTATTTGATAACCGTTTTTTGATTCAAAATCGATTTTGATTTAAAACCGGTTATAATTTCTAAATCGAATTTGGAACCAATCTCAAACTGGTTTGGAAAAATTAAAACCGGTTTTTAAAATATAAAACTGCTTCGATTTGAAAACCAAACCATTTAAAACCGGTTCTGTTTGGTTTTTAAAAAAACCGAATCGAACCGCTCCATGCACATCCCTACCTACATACATATAAAAGTGTGTAAGCCTTGTTTATTAAAAGAAAGTGTGAGGGCCTTATGTGGGGTCATCTAAAAAGAAAAGAGAAAAATAAAATTATGCCATAAACGGGTTGGGCCGTCCCGCCCTGCATTTTGATATGGGTTGAAAATCTCAACTCACCTCGTTTTGTGGTAGGTTCGCGTGTCAATCAGTCTAAAAAATAAAAATAATTAAAAAAATAAAAATAAATTATATTTTATTAATTTAATAATATTTTTTTTTTATTTTATAATTCTCTTAGTTTTTTTCCAATCTCAAACCTAAAGTATACTAATATTCAGTCACATATTTTTTATGAACTTATTTTTTTCTTCATATATGGATAACTTTTATCATAAATAAAATTTCTAGCTCTGTAAAGTGGTCTCTTTCTATTAGTTTTGGTTCTCTTTGCTGTATTTTGTTTGTTGGATTCCTGACTCCCCTGTTCGGCATTTCATTTTTCTTCAACAAAGTCTAGTTTTAGCAAAAGTATAAAAATCTTTTCAAAAATATATGGTTTTAAGGTTGATCACAATTTTGATTGATAAAATACCAACGATGTGCTAGGCAAGACTCAAGGTTGCCTGCTATTGCCTATTGCACTGATAAACTTGAAGAACAAGAAATTATTTTTATGTTGACCAACCTGCATTGAAGTGAAGGTAATTGTATTCAACGAGTTTCGAGCAGATAAAAGAAAAAAAAGAATGAACAATTGAAGTAAAAAAATATATATAGAGTATTCTTTGTTAGGATAGTTTATATTTTTGTTTAGAACTTTTTATAAATTACATTATATAAACATAATTTTTCTCCAGTTTCTTTTGTTTATTTATTTTAATGAAAGAAAGATATAAGTACACTAATTATTGTATCTTTTCTAGAGAGTAAGACCTACATTCATCTTTAGCCTCAGAATTGAGATTGTGCACAAAAATGCAATACGTTTTTTCTGAATCACCAAACAAAATCAGCTGACTTACAAGATTTAATTAATTTCGTGTTTATTTCTAAAGCCGACATTCCTCTACAAGGCTAATGTAACATTCAAAGTACACTTAAAAATTACATTACAAAACAGAATATGACTAATGATACTATAGTTAATGTCAGAACTACCAACTAGCCTGTTCTATCTACTCTAATATACAAATCGAAATAGTTGAGCAACTGGCTTCTGCAGCTCAAAGAACCAAATCGCTCATCATATATATATTTACACACATCCGAAGCTGATGTATTTCATCTAATGGCTCAAAACCTATAGGTTAAGTCTTGAGTCATAACTTATTTCCATCATCATTGTGCATGTCTTGTGACTTCTCACAAATGCAACCTGGGAAAGGGTTTGCATAAAAGTTCTCTTCCCCTTTGGGGTGGCGTTGAATTTTTCTAGGATGAGGAGCTCCAATATTGTTTGCATGTATGCTCTTAACCCTGGATGAGAAATCGTCCCAAGAAATCAAACCATTGTCCAACTGATCAATCAGCCTCACGAACCTTTTCCTGCAGAACATTAAGGTCCATTAGAAAGAAACGAATTGGATTAATGTTAATTATATGCTAGTTGTCTACTAACATATATAGATCCTGAAATGTTGTTTAATAGAATCAATACTTGTCCGGGCTAATGGTTTTACGAAACCCTTCAAATGTTCGATGACCCCGTGCTACTTTGGCCATATTCCCATCATAGCTGTAAACAAAAACATCACTTTCTAATGTTATGATGTAATCCAAAGCAGCAAGTTGATTGTCATGGCCCTCAAAGGGTTGAAGTTCTTCTTTTGTGGCTAAAGTGGAGTGTGAGAGCACATTAGGATACTTGGTTTGGAGGGGTTTCATTCCATCTAAGCCATAAATCTTGCCAGCAGCTACATAAATTTTTGTGTCAAGAGGATAGCCAAGTGCTTCAAGGAAAACAGCAACCTCTCTTGGAGTCATGGGGCAGTTCCCCCTTAGTCGCTTTGATTTGCTATCAATCTCTTTCTCCTTCCAGTGTTTCACTTGATATCTCATCTTTTTAAGCTCTTGGGCTTCTGCATTTGTCAGGTTGTGGCTGCAGCCAGTGAAAGCAAGCATGTCCTTTTCATATCTGCAATATGGTCATTTGCTTGTGAGAGAAAGGTCAAAATTCATAATAACATGTGTTAGGAATCCAAGTGAGAGTAATAAAGCCTCACATTGGTTAGAAATGTCCCAAGTAAAAACTACACTCATAAACTCAATCTCTTAAAGTTTTAGGTTGAGATAACATCAAGATAGGATACAATATGTAATTATATTTTAATTAACTAGGTAAACCATATCACATAAATTACCTTAAATGGAGAGCTATGTAAGGGGTGTTGTTGTTTCTAAGTCTATTTACCAACTTCATTCCAAGCTCTTCCACTGGGACTGCAAATCTAAGACCCTCATACATGGCACGGCAACGTACTCTCTGAATTGAAGTAGCTAGACCATTATTGACTAGGCGAGAATCAGTTTTGATAAATTTGATCACTTTGTGTTTCCTCAATAATTGCAACATCTCCCCACTGTAATAACTGGCCTACATGTTTCAAAGCCATCACAAAATATTTAGATTCAAAACTAAAATAGCTACTTTGTGAGTGTGGTAGAACTTTCTATGTAGATAATGTGTAGTATTATTGCCTTGGACCAAGAAACCGGAGCCTTCAAAGCTGGCTTAATTGCTGCGAATTGGGGTGGTAGAGACTCCACTATTTGAACGTCATCATTTAAAACTTCAACGAAGTTCTTCCAGTTAAAAATTTGTTTAAAATCACTGAGACAAATAAAATTTAGAACAGTACAAAATCAGGGAGAGGCAAATTTCTTTGACTGGAAATTCAAGTAGATTAGAATCCATACCTGGGATCTGTCCAAAAGGAACCATGATCTAGTGTAGGTAAAACCAGAGTAGCTTGCATAATTTTCGCAATAGCAACCATGTCACTTATCTGCAATTTGATGGAAAATATGTTTATATCTCACAAGATTGAAGTAAACAAGACATTTGAAAAATAAATAAAATAGAGTAAAATTGTGAATGAAATTTGATTGCGTACTCCGATTTTCATTTGATTTAATCCTCCATTGGCGTGAACCAAAATGTAGCCATTTGTGGTGTTTCCTTTCCCTGTAGAATAGAAATCTTTCCTAGTTACAAAGATTGCAGAGTGAGAATCACTTATACTGAATTTTACTCAAATCTTGAACAAGAAAGAGCTTTGGACGAACATGTATCATCACTCTTCGCTCGACTCATGCATTTGTAGTACTTGTCATTGTTGGGATGCTTCCATATTTCGAGAGTCTAACTAACAGATATCAGACGAAAACTAGCATCACAATCTTAATGAAACAACAAATGATATTAATATTGATTACATTGTGAACAACAAAATATGAAGCGGACACACCAAAGGACTAAACCACCTCCAACTTTTTATTGGTAATAATAACACTATATATTAGTCCAATTCCGGAACAATTAGATATTTTTATTTCAGTATGATAATCTTACATAACAAGGTCGGTTGATAGAGCAAACAAACTTATTTTCTGTCACAAATTTCAACCCATTTTTTGGAAGGCAACAAAAGGTGAAAATACAATTTTGATATTTTTTTTATGTTGAGAAAAGAAGAGAAAAAGAAATGAATGGAAAAAGAAGGAAAAAATATCATATAAGATATAATAGGAGGTTAATTAATGATTTTTCTTCGGATGAAAGTTTATTTAAGAACTTTTCTTCTATCTGCTGCTCGTCGGTCCGAACAAAATCTTAACATTTATTAATCGTAAGTAACCATGTTAAATAAAATATATACATTTCACTTGTGCTAGATTTATGGTAAGCACAAGATTAGTAGAATAAATTAAAGTTGCATAATTTTCAAGGGAAAAAAAATGTAACTCATGTTAGTTGGCCCAGGTAGTAGAAGTCCTTTGCAAGTGGATGTAAGAAAGATCATATCTCATATTTACCTTTCTCCCTTTCCTAGTTGTATATAATTACGTGTTTTCGGATGAATCATAAAGTTTATGAAAAATATAGTAAGGTATAGTAATGATATAAAATATCTAGCAGAACAAACATTTATATACCGGCAACTTGTTTGGTGAAGGTACCTCTTCCACCACGTTTGAATGTATTTCAGGATTCAAGGACAACTGATCAGAAAACATATTAAACAACACAAGCTTGGTAAGGACACACATAAAAACCAAAACCATTAAGCCCCAGAACATAAAACGTCCTCGCTTGAGCCTGAACAGCTTCTGCCAATGTCTTATTTTACGTCGCACAGGGGACACAAGTCTCATGCAAAATGACATTGATCCATAACGTTCTTCTGTTCCATCTAAAAGGCCCTTCCTTGCCATGAAAACGGTGCACGGGATAAAGGGCCACCCTTGGAAGAGAGATAATGAACAAAGGGAGAGTGAGAGAGACAATGAGAAACAACATGCATGCATGCATATAGGTTGAGGGTTGGAGTTGTGGGAGGGACTTTGCTTTCTTCTTTTGTCTTTGGTGAGGCTTTTGTATAGTTAATTAAATGGTTAGTCTCTATGTCATGAGAGCGGAATATGAGGCGATACACTCTCTCTGTTTCAGATGTTTTTAGTTTGTATGCCTTCAGAGTGTGACAACAATAGCCTCTATTTTTGTTAACAACAACCTGTATCCTTGCATAAAAAGTTGGATTCTAAAATTTAACAGAAATGTTTTTATTGAAAAATATAATCGCGGAGAATAATTTTCGCCACATTCATACAGTTTTATTCTGATAAGATAACATGTGTTCATTTTGCTATAACACTACAAAAAAAAAAGCTAGTTAGCGACATTAATATAACTACATTTCTACCCAATAATAGAATGTCGCAAAACAACGAGTGTTATTTTCATCCGGTTTCACCTAATCCCTGAGTTATTTTTGTTCTTTCTTATTCTCATCCCCCTAAACCTAATCCCTCGTTCCCCCCCTTTCTTATTTTATTTTTTCCAATCCATTACAATTCATTGTCCACCTCTGATCCCAATGGGCGGTGAGCAATGATGACAGCGGCGAGAGGGGGTCATGGCTCCATCGCCGGTATGTGCCGTTACCGTCTCGGCCGTGGTGGAAACAGGTCCGGTGGAGTCGAAGGTAGATCCAGCGCCGGAATTAACATGTTGCTTCAACGGCTTCGTCACCGTTCTCCACGTTTTTGGCAAGCTCTACCATTGATTCGATCTCTCGATCGTGATTCTGATGATACCTCCATTTCGGATTTGGCGCGTGATATTCGGCTCCCCACTCGGTAAATCGAAACCTGCGTTTTTAATTTAAGCTTATTTTCTTTGTAAATTTTCATAGGCCAAGATTAGGCTTCTAGTTTTTTTAGCTCTGAAATGATTGGATCTTTTTGCTTTTGAGGGAAGTCACTTTTGGCCTTTATGTGAAAGTAAATCTCTGGCATTCATTCATTTATTTTTATTCCTTCAGTGACACAAAATGAACCTTGATATCTATAATACGGGGGGGAAATATCAAAAGCTGCTGAAACTTGAATATTTATCAATGCTACAGGGGCTTAAAAACTTCACCAAAAATGCTAGGGAACTCGTTACTAGCCTTCAGAAGATTGACAGTGACAACTATCCAGAGGTATTTATTTTTATTTTATTTTTTCTATTTTGGTTAGAATTATGGGGAAAATGTTTTTTAATGTGAATAAATATCATGGATTACTAAGTAATATCATGAAATTGGTTGGTTCACTGCAGACCTTGAATCGCATGTTCATCATCAATGCAGGTTCTGGATTTAGAATACTGTGGAACACCATAAAATCCTTCCTTGATCCTAAGACCACAGCAAAAATCCATGTGAGCATATAGACCTTACCCTAAATCTGTTTGTTTTCTCAGGAAAACAGAATTGTCACTGAAATTTATAATTTATCAGGTTCTTGGCAACAAGTATGACACTAAATTGCTTGAGATAATTAATGCAAGGTGAGTTCCTGACTAGATTGAATATAGCAGTATCTGGTTTTTCTTATTTCATGAGTACTTTCGATCCATTTTTTTTTTCACTCCTCAGTTTTCTTTCTTCTCTATCTAAAGTCTTCCTGTTACATTGACTAAATTAAGGATATTGAGAAGCTTCACACATTCATTGGTTTTGCTTTGTCAGTGAGTTGCCTGACTTTTTAGGAGGTACTTGTACATGTGCTGATCAAGGAGGATGTATGCGCTCTGATAAGGGCCCATGGAATGATATTGAAATAATGAAGGTGGGCCTGCAATCCTTTTTTCAGTTTTCACTTGCTTATCTATTTATGATTTAGCTGATAATTTATGTCCCTTGTATGGATTCCTAAACATACGTATTATGGAATTGCAGATGGTTCAGAATGGTGATCACAAAAGTTCAAGAAAATGTGAGTTTCACGTTGAGGAAGAGAAAGTAGTTTCATAGGTGAGATAGCTCATTCTACGCTCTTTGTTAATCTTTGATAATGCATAGGGATTCCATTTAATTGTGTCTCAGCAAATGCTATTTCCTATAGTTGTTCAAAATCATTTTGATTTTATAGCAACTCCTAGTGCTTTCTGTCATTTATGAACATTTGAACTAATTAATGAGCATGTTTAGGGACACGAGACTTCCAAGGTGGAGGAAAATCTCACCTCACATGTTTCTCCAGTTTGTGAAGAGGTATGTTAATATCCATTCTTAACCTTGTTAGGAATAGGAGGAAGCTTTCAGGACATAATGAAGGATGTGAAAATCTTAGTAGTTTAATTATGTATTTATATATGTCAAGATTAAAGTCATAATTAAAAAAAAAATAGGCAATTGAACATGGCTCAGCAGATAATAAGACAAAATGTACAATCTTTATTTGGTTCACACTTCACAACCTTTAAGGTAGCATACAATAGTCTAGAGATAGTATCTTAGTGACACAAAATTTTGGAGGAGGGAATAGTGATCCTCATTTTGTTGCTTTGGGAGGTAAGCCTTATTGGTCTCTCCCCACCACTTGCACTGTCTCATAAAACTAAATGACTTTCTTTGTGATATGCTAAGTAAGAAGCAATAACTGGTGTATCCCAAAAAAGAAGAAGAAGCAATAACTGGAAACATGTTTACTTGAAGGTTATCTTGGGTTATATAACCCCTGAACCTACCAGAAAATTAGGTTGAGTATAACAAGTCATATTGTTGCTGGAGGTATACTCCAGTGCTGTGCATAATACTTTAAAGCCATTAATCGAGCTTCCAAAATCCCTTAGGAAATACGGTCAAAGTTGCCACAGATATTCTAAAGCATGTTTTGTTTATTTACTCTTTGCCCTTGCTTTTTTAAACCTCTGTGCTTCCATTCAATATACATAATTTTGCATTTAGTTTCATTAGATGAAACTTTATCTTTGCTATTGATTTTGATAATTTTTGTTTTGATATTCCCAGGATCTGTTATGGACAAATTTACTATTGCTTTGAGAGAAATCAGTACATACAAGGAACTTCTTCGATCACAAGTAATGATTTATCTGATGTTGACATTGTCTTTCTTGTTTTTCGGCAGTACATACAAGGGTAGATTTTATATTTTACTGGCTGCTTGTTCTAGTAGAGGGATGCCCTTTTTGTATACTTTCAACTATCTTGTTTCTAAACACAACCTGTTGGTTGTACCTATTCCTCATTGAATAATAATAAATTTATGATATTCAGGTGCATATTCAAATCATAATACTTGCTACATAGCCTCTTTTCCTTGCCCTGGTCCTAGCCTAGGTTTATTCATAGCTTAAAAGAAATATTGACCTATGATAGTAAGATAAAAGAACTTGAATATTGGTGAAACTTGTGGCTTTGCAATCTTTTAACTTAAAACTTGAGCTAATTTGTCACTTGATGATGGCTGGGATTTTTTTCCCCTAGTAAATTAGAGGCAATTGTTCTAATTGATATTGTTATGCTGACTATAATTAATATGGCTTCTTAGGTAGAGTACGTGCTCAATGACCGGTTCCTACACATTATCAATGTGGACATCCATGAAGTCAAGGTATCTTGTGAGCATTAGATATTGTTTTAATGTTTATACATAATAGTGTTAGGAATTTTTTTAGATTACATATAATAAAAGGCACAACTAATTTTTGAACTGTGTCCAAATAAGGAGGCCCCAAGCTCGAGTTAGCATTAAAAAAAAATTTGTGCGTTAGATGAAAGATTCTGATTGGATGATTCCATTCTATATCAACCACTTCCACTTTTTTGGTTTATTTAATGGAGCCCAATAGTATCTATAGATCCATTTGCCCAACCCCATTTAGTGGGATAAAGCTGGGTTGTCCATTGTTATTGTTTCAGATAACCAATCTAGCTGAAACTGATATGATTATTTGGAATTCATTATCCTTTTTAGTTGACTTTTTTTTGGGTGCATGGTTGACTCTATTTACCCCAAATTATGGATGGTAGAGCTGGATTTTTTATTTTTTTTGGCTGTAATTTTCTTGTGATATTTTTACAGAGAGCGAAGATTTAAATACACAAGCATATTTTGGTTGCATTGTTTGAGTTGTCTTAGGTGTTGAAGTTCCTGCCATTTTCCTGAGGTCTTTGCTGCACAATTAATTGGAGCTTTTCTATTGTTGAATTTGTTTGAATGATTAGTACAGGAGTTGAGTTATGCAATGATCTCACTGCTACTTAAGTTTAGATTAAGTATTGTCTTTTTCATTGATTTTGACCTGTGTTGTTGATTGACTTTTTGAGTGTTGATATGGCTTTCATCCTGTCGACCTTTGGTAATCCCATCTGCCTTGCTCTTGGGATCTTCCCAGTTTTTTCTCAATGCTCACAGGGTTAGTGCTTAAGATGTATTTGTAGTTGCTTAAAGTTTTTGAGTACTTGGTTTGTGTCGTGTGAGAAGATATATTGTCCCTTTGATCATAGCGTGCAGGAACAGGGTAGATTGTTACACATGATTTTATCTTTGCCCCACTGTGTTTCTTATCCTGAACCTTACAAAGTCTTGTCAAAATCCGTCTTTTTATGTTTACCTCCAATAACTTTATGCTTCTGAGTGCTTTTTTAGTTTCCTTATGTGAGTTGCTTTTGTTCTTCAGATTTTGACCGTGATGACTGATGATTGAATTAGGGAGCTTCTAATCTTGAGAAAAGATGATTTCAGTAATTAGGGATATTGGAAAAGGGCAATTCTACATGACTGTTTATGGTCAATTTTGATAATCTAAATTTTTTAATGAGCTTGTGCTTCATTATGCAATGCGGTGTGTTAGAGTTTGGCTTGTCTAAATTGTAAGCCCGCAAAGTTGTTGTATATAGCTTTGATAAAAAGCTAATGTTCCATCCATTATCAAGTCATGGATGGGGTGATAATTCGGTCGGGAGAAGGCATGTTTGAACTTCTAAAGAGCACTCGCATAGTGGCATTCCCTTACTCTGTTTAAAATTTTGAACTGCTTCTGCTTGTGTCTATGTTCTCCTTATAGGTGCAATGGTGTATGAAAATAACTATAAAATGTTTCCCATTTTCTTGAGAAATCCAATAACTTGGCCTTTGCACCTTTTGATGTTGTTAAGCATATCTGTGTCTTTTGTTTTAGAGTACATTGAAATTAAAATCCACCATGACTGACTTGTATTTTGCTGTCATCCTTTTAATTCATTGATTCAATTTTCTTCTGGCTTGTAAGCACTTAAATATTTCATTATTCAATCTAATGAGGGACTTCACAAATTTAGATCATCATTAGATCCTAGTTTTTTTTCTTTAAGGTTTAAAGATCATTGTTGTACCTTGGAAATCTGATAGATGTTGTTATTTGCAGTCTTCAGTGCTTCATTTGCAACCAAAGTCAACTGTGGGAACTTCAGCATATATTGCTCTAGAAGTATTGCTGAGACAAGAGTATGATGGCAAGGTAGATTATTTTGGTTACATGGTATTGTTGAAAGAAGAAAAAATTGTTAACTACATATGGTAGATACTATGATGAGAAGAGTATGTCTTTTGGGACCGAAAACATTTGAATTTGTGATCTGCTCTCTTCATCTCTGGATTCGCAAAACACTTTGGAAGATGGGTCATGCTATAGTCAATTGAAGTTACAGTATGTGCTAACTTAACTTCATGGCCTTGTGAGCTATGATCTTTTTCTTTTGACCTTGCTGTCTGTTTTGATCTTCAATCATCAATGACGTGTGAAAATCAGCAGCTAACTATATCTATATTTGTGAGCTATATTTAATATTATTTTTTTATTGATGTAATTTAACAGAAATGTTTTTATTGAAAAATATAATCGCGGAGAATAATTTTCGCCACATTCATACAGTTTTATTCTGATAACATGTGTTCATTTTGCTATAATATAATGCGAATGTTCAAAAGGTTTATTTTTATGTTTAAATTAATCTTAGTGATTCATTGGCTCTACTTAGTGTTGTTAACGGGCCGAGCCGAGTCGAGCTTTTTAGCTGTTATAAATATAATAATCGGCCTGTAACTTGACGTATTTACAAAAAAATAAAATCCTAGTTTAGCTGACGTGTTAGCCTCTTTAAAAAAATAAGACAACAAAAGTTTATCTAAACATAATATACTAATAATTCCATAAATATTTATAAATTCAATGTATATCCAAACATCGTAATATAAAACAAAATCATTTAAAAAGTCTGTTTAACAAATAAAATGAGATAAAATAAATTGAAGAGAGAGGATTATTACAAGTAATATAAAAATATAAAATAAAAATACAATAATATACTAGGCCAGCCCGAGAGACTCCAAGGCCGAGCTTTTAAATTGGAGCTTGAGACTTTTTTTGTTAAACGAGCTTTTATAGAAGTCTAAGTCTGATTCCAAAACCAAGTTTAGATATGTAAGCTCCAGCCTTCACGAGCTGAGTCAAAGGCCCCTGCTTCATTTACCACCCCTAGCTCCACTATAGTCAATATGGAACTTTCTGGTTAGGGGTGGTAAACGAGCCAGGGGCCTTTGGCTCGGCTCGTAAAGGCCTGAGCTCGTTTAATAAAAGCTCGTGTTGGAACCAGGCTTGGACTTGTATAAAAGCTCGTTTAATAAAAAAGCCCCAAGCTCTAATTCAGAAGCTCGGCCTTAAAGTCTCTCAGGCTAGCCTAGTATATAAATATTTATTTATACTTTTTATACTACTTGTAATAACTCTCTCTCATCAATTTATTTCACCCTATTTTATTGGTTTAACAGACTTTTTGAATGATTTTGTTCTATATTATGCTATTTGGATATATATTGAATTTATGTATATTTATGGAATTACTAGTGTTGTTCTACATTATCCTTCATCCTCCTTCACACAAACAAACCCACAAAAACTCAGTCGTTCCATTGTGCACTGCTCGTTTGTGTCAATTTATTTTTTATTTTATTTATTTTATTTTTATTTTTGTTAGCACTTTTTTTATAATGGGCTAAGATAATATAACCTGTTATCTACCTTCTCTCACTTTGATTTTTTTTATTTATTGTAGACTTTGTAAATTATTGCTGCAAATTGGAAGCTAAGGTTTCTATCTGGAAATTGATTTTTTGTGAAATTCTGTTCTCTTATTTTTATTCTTTAACATGCTAACAGGCTAAGACAGGCTTCACACAAGCTTTTATTTTATGCAAATAAACCAAGCCACAGGCCAATATTATATTCATAACAGGTAACAGGCTAAGGCCAGTCGGACACGTTTAAATACAGGCTTGACCCGTTAAGATCAAACCTCGGCTCGGCTCGACCCGTTAACACCCCTAAATTCTAGTAAGTAAGTTACGCAACAAATTTTGTTTTTTAATCTAAATTTTTTTAATATTATTTTTCATTTGAAAATGGAAGTATTAAAAAAGATATAATTTTCCATGCAATAGGAGATAACTTTCTCATGTATGTTGTGAGACATCGAGATTCACATTATTTTTTGTTAACAAATGGTGAGATACCTCATGTGATGTGAGAAAAAAGAGAAGCCCATAAAAAAGATAATAATTTTTTTATGAAGCAGAAATTCTTCTTTTGACACCTAAAATAGTTGTGGGACCCACATATTTCATGAACTACGATTCAGATCGAGTCTTACCGAAATCGGATTTCCTTTTCGTGCCATATGCGCTTAGACTTTATTTACTTTTTCCCCTTTTTTCTTCCCGGTTTAATATTTGTTCTCGAAAGTCTTCGTTTCCGTGTAGAAGCAAACTCTCCAAATTGTTGACCAACCTTTCCTTCAATGAATGGGGATTGATCAATTACATATTAGCTAATAGCTATTTTTTTTTTTTTTTGGATCAAAGCTAATAGCTATTTAGTTTATTGGAAGTAGCAAAAATAATAATAATAATAATTTAAATGTTGGGTTTTATATTTTAACCAAAGCAAAGCCCAATTGAATGGGCCTTTACAGAGGCAGTCCAGTTCATAAGAAAAACCCTAAAATGGTGATTACGATTATAAAAACCCTGGAAATTGTGTTGCTTGTTCTTCCGCCGAGCGTAGAACCAGAAGGAGGAGGAGGCGGCATTTCGTGCATCTTCATTCATCCACCATACCAAAATGGTTAAAGGACGACAAGGAGAGCGTGTCAGGTTTCTGATCTAACTCTTCCCTACCTTTTTTATTTTCTTTCTGCACCAAACATTATGGTTTGAGTTTTGTTTCGTTTCTCATGCAATTCTTTTTAGCTTCTGTTGTGTTCAAGCATTCAGTTTTAATATGTAACGTCTGAGGAGATACATGTTTAGTTTTTGTTTTTTAGGAATCGCTTCTTAGTCTTCGATCTGTGGTTAGAGTCTTGCAATTATATAATTGCTTTGGATAAATTTTAGAGGTTTTTACTCAAATATGGCAGATTATGCCTAATCACATTCATGATGTAGTAGATGAATACCAGTTTTAGGGCATCTGTTTGCTTTGGCTAATGCTTTTGCTAACGTTGTCATTCTTCTTCTTGTGTATCAGGCTTTACGTCAGAGGTTCAATTCTTGGATACAAGAGGTGTTTATTTTTTTCATTCTCTTTTGGATTTATTTTACAGTTGTCCTTTTTTTCCCCCAATTTCGTGTTATGTGTTAACTTTAAAGTTTTCCAAAAGTATCTCTAAACAACAGATTTGGGTTTACGATTTTCTCTTGATTTCTGTCAATGGCATATAATGATATAGATTCAGGTTGTTTGATTTGATTTCTGCTGAGGATATTGGTGGTGTTGTTTAGGTCCAAGTCAAATCAATACCCAAATACATCTCTTATCCAGATTGAGGGAGTAAACTCCAAGGAAGAGGTTGCCTGGTACTGTGGGAAGCGCATGGCATACATTTACAAAGCCAAGGTGAAGAATGATGGAAGCCACTATCGCTGCATTTGGGGTAAAGTTACCAGGCCTCATGGTAACAGTGGTATAGTGCGTGCTAAGTTCAAGTCTAACCTGCCTCCAAGATCAATGGTAATTTCTAGGCCATAGAAATGATTAATTTTTTTGGCTAACTTTTATATGGTTTATGAGTGTTTTGAGTGTTGATCCATCTGCAGGGAGCAAGGGTTAGAGTTTTTATGTATCCAAGCAATATGTGAGGTAATTTTACCATTTTATTGATACTTGTTGACTTTTTATTTTATCAGTTGTTGTCTTAATGTGGTTGCCCTATGCTTCTTGATTCTCAATCATAGTGATACAAAACGATTCACTCACATGCTATCCAGAAAAGACTGGGTTTTCATATCCTAATCTGCACAATCTAATCACTGAAGACGTTGTATTGTTTTATTTCTATTAGATTGATAGATCCTATATGTTCCTGATTTGGTTTCAGCTGAGAGAATACCTTGCCCATGCTTCATATATGATAATTGATCATAGGTCAATCCAACTTGCTTTCTAAAAATAATATGCTTCAGATTATGTAGTTGCATCATCTATTTGGAAATAGTAATATAATATTAATGTAAGTAAAATTCATGTGCAAAAAACTTTAGGAGATATTAAATTCCTCAATTCGTTGTTATTAAATGTCTCAATTCATTGTTATTAAATTCCTCAGTTCTCTCATTTGGTTACAACAGTGATACCATCTTTCCCAATTCCATCGTATTGTCTTAGTGTTCTATCTGTCCTTCGCCTTGTTCAAAAATTAAAATTGATCCTTTGATCTCTTTCTTTAAGAAAATCGCACACAGTTCTTCTTGGGAACCTATTTTACAAAACAATTCTCAGGATTTTATCTGTGCGGATAGCAATTGAAAAACCTTTCTGCTTGAGCCTTCTCCTTTATCCATGGAGATATGCTCCAATGTAATTGACTTACAGTTTCATCCATTTTCTCTAAGACTGATTAATTTATTATTATTGTTATTAAATGCCTCACTTCTCTCATTTGGTTATAACAGTGATACCATCTTCCCCAATTCCATCGTATTGTCTTAGTGTTCTAGCTGTCCTTCGCCTTGTTCAAAAATTAAAATTGATCCTTTGATCTCTTTCTTTAAGAAAATCGCACTCAGTTCTTCTTGGGAACCTATTTTACAAAACAATTCTCAGGATTTTATCTGTGCGGATAGCAATTGAAAAACCTTTCTGCTTGAGCCTTCTCCTTTATCCATGGAGATATGCTCCAATGTAATGGCTTACAGTTTCTTCCATTTTCTCTAAGACTGTTTAATTTATTATTATATTGTTATTTTGTTGCTTTTGCACATAAGACATTATATAGGGCATGGTTGGTGGTAGTTTTCACACATCCCTTTCAACCCAATGTTTGTCTTCAATGTAGTTTGCTTATTGATTCTTACTATAGTATATGTTTGTACTTTGAATTGAGTTTCTAGGCAATCAATCATGAATTCCTGGTGAATTTATAAGCCCGTCATTCTCTCCATTTATAGCTGATTGAAGCCTCTGTTCTACATTTTTTTATGTACTCAGTCGCCCTATATATTGTTTGTTAATGTTCTGTTCAATCGAGTGAGCTCCACGATACTCTTAACACTTCTGATACAATGTCTTGTTTATTATACACTTCTGATACAATGTCTAGTTTATTATAATAATCAACTAATTGAATTTTTTTTAGAATTTACTAATTTTGTTAACTTCCCAATTAGAGTACTTGAGAATAACTAATGTATAATCATAATGCCCGTATCTACATGATCTAATTGGCCTTGAAACTACATGCTTATTTTTTGGCATTTCGGTTTTCTTTGCAGATTTACAGGTCTTGTTGGTGCCTATAGAGTTTATCTGTGACTAGAAGGCTGTTGCATTATGCGAGTTAAATTTTGATGTCCTTTTTGAGCAGAATAGTTTCCTTGTTTAGGATGGTGAATGAACTTCCATGTTTTTCTTCATTCTCACTGCTATGTTTTTTCTTAATGAGGATTATAACTTAATTTCGTAAATGGATTTCTTCCCCCATTAATCTTTTCACGTTAGGTTCAGTTTGGTGTCCTCTAAGAATTCGAAGTGGAAATTCAAGCATGAGGTTCATATGGATTAAGGGAGTACATTATTTACGGGAAAAATAATTACTAGAATAATACTATATGGGAAAAGATAAAGGGAGTAAACATCGATCTCCCCATATTCATGTTTTTAAAAAATGCTATTTTTTAAGCATTTAATCTGAATTTTCATCTATGAACTTTGAACTCTGTCTCTACTGCTCTGCCATCTGTTTAAGCTTCGCCCTTAAACCTTGTGAATTCATGCCAATGGATTCAGTATTGGAGTTGCCATCAAGCTCTATTTCATGCTTTGTTCTCGTTGTACCTGGGTGTTGGTATCATCTTTGTTGCTCGCGGTGTTTCTGACTACTTTCGGCGTATCACCCTGTCATGCGACAACGTCGTCTCTGAACCTGGGGGAGACAATGGTTGACAAATCGAAATTTTCGTTCAAGTGAAGTAAAATTTATACCAAAAATGAAGAGGAAATATTATTACAATAAATTTTAATCATTTCTTTTCTCTTTACACCAAGCCCAATTTAAGTTTAGAAATTTTGCTCCCTTAAAAATTCACTTCCTCTAACATTGGAGCAAACGTTGCCTTAAGGGTGTTGGCTGGGTTAATTTTACTCGTTTTCTATTTTACTATGTTCTTCGTGCCACTCTCATGCCATAATATTCGTTAAGAAATATATGATTGCGTGTTTACAGTTTTATGAGGTATTGAATACTGGTTTCACAATTGGTAACGCATTTTGTTTAATCTGTTGGAAGTATATGTAAACATGGGATAAGATATCGTGACAACCAAATAATATTATTATCAATGTTACTACCACATCTTAACCGTTGATTTTCGTCAATCAACGGTTATCATTTATTACGAATTAATAATTAATTAATGAGTTTGATTTGAAAAATAATCACCGTTGATTGGCGGAAATCAACGGTTAAGATGTGGTAGTAACATTGGTAATAACATTATTTAGTTGTTACAATATCTTATCTCTATAAACATTGTCCATTGTAATTAAAGGTCATCGATGATCAAAATTGGACACGAGTTCAAAATGCAGTTCTTGACACAGTCTTAGCAGTGCAGCATTATAAATTGTAGCTCTTAACGCAATGTCGACTGAGTAATTACTCGGACTAATCTGGAGGATTGTGGCATTGGGGCCACGATATTTTGTGTTCTATGACAAAGACGCGACTGTATTTGGGTGAATCTTTGGTGCAAAGCCACGCAAACACCAAAGCCCAAAATAAATGAGAAGTTTTTTTACTGCTTCGAAATCATCTATTATCCTCTAGCATTGTTAAAGGAGTACTGAAAAATAAAAGAAATAAAATCTAACAATGCAATTGTGAAGGAAGCTGTAAAGCATAAATGATGTCCCTCTTTTCTTCAAGGACAAACTACAATTGGATAATGAGGAATATATTTATCATGTTACACGAGATAATTTATCTATTATAACACATAAAAAACTAAGCGAGATTCATTAAGAAAAAAATAGAGAGAAAAAAATAGATTTCATCCACTTTTTGTATGTTGCATGAGACAAAATGTGTCATGCAACATAAAAAACATATTTATAATATATTATAATAAAAATAATCCTTATGAAATTATATGTAAGTCACGAGTTTCGTGTATTGCTCCTAAAGTTTATTGAAAAGAAAAAATGGAAATGGTCCACATGGAGATTATTATATAATTTGTTTGTAGGAAAAAGTCCAAGAAATAGAACTGTATCTTTGTCTAGTTCTATGAATTCGATGGATGGAATCATCAAAATATGTTAATAACAAAAGGATGGTAAGATGCCTGAATAGTCTATCCTTCATCAGCAAAACAAAAGCAAATAAATAATTGAAAACAATAATTAGTCTCAATTATTTGGACTTATACATTTACAAAACACTATGATTATAAAATCTCTCTATAGTATCCTCGAATCATATCATATCAAATTATTATAAAAAATATAATTATCATAATAACTACTTGATGAAATTTAAATCTTACAATTATTGAATGATTTTTGTGCATGGATGTTTAAATGCATAAAATATGCTCCACCCTCTTCTCCCTCTCGCAAGTTTGACTTTTCCTAAATCATAAATGAACTTTAGATTCCAATGTTTACATTGGAGAAAGCAGAGTGAGAGCGTGAATCCACATTTCTAAACCATGTTTGCTTTGCTTTGATTTTTGTTAAAGAGTGTTTGAGTATATATTTGTGAACCATGTGCGGTTCCGCGACTTCACAGTTAGTTTCTGCGTAAAAGTTGGAGAGCAGAAAGGTGGCTCAATAAGAAAGAATCCATTTTCCAAGTTAACAGCACTCCCAAATATCTAATTATAAGTATGAACTAGGGCTTTTAGATCCATGATTAATTGCCCAATTGAAAACGCACGATACCCTTTATTAGGAGTTGGCAGACCATACCTATTATAGACTTTATGTGAGCAATAAGGAATGGGAAATCTGACTTACCATTCCGACTTTAAGTTGACAAAATTTATGGACTACATGACCAAATCAAATTATACATGCATATTCGCAAGAAATTATGCAACCTTTGCTGACATGTTCTCGATCGATGGATGAATAGAAAACTCATAATTTTTGTTCATTGAAAATTGTTGATTATAACATAGTCCATTTAATTGCACTTCATGTGTAATACATAATAACATTTGGTGTGGTGAATGGGGATGCAACACAGCGTATGCCTTCTGACCTTTCTCCCAGTGCATTATTCAAGACTTCTCCTAACTTTGACTTGGTCTAAATTGTTGGTTTGTGCTATTTATAAGTACACACGTCGCATCACATGTCTTGGTAGAAGGTGTAATATGCACGACTTTAGGCACTTCTGCATTACTCGGTCACCTTCAATTCCACTAGGAAAAAATATTGGACCTAACCTAACAATGCTTTGACTACATATATGCATCGCTTGAAAGGAGGAGTCTGAGTTGTTACATCGATTAGTAGGAGTTTCTTTTTTCCTACTAGAGAAGCGCACCTACTAAAAAAAAAAAAAAAAAACTTGTTTTGGCGTTTTGCGTCAAAATAAATAGAACATACAGAAAATTAAAAAGAGGGTGGGGGATTCTATATATATTTTACTTTGTATATTATCCTAAAGAAATAAGGGAGATGGATCTCCATATTACTATTTTTTTTATTAGACATCTAAATAGGATGAATTATATGCTCTTTTTATTTTCTCTGTTTCCATCATCCACTTTCTTATTTATTAAATGATTTTATTTTTTTTATGTCACATAAGAAAATTTTTATCTCCTACATAGAAAATAAATAATGGGACTCACTTTATTTAAAAAAAAAATAAAAAATAAAACACAAAATCAAAATAAGAATAGGAGATAAAAATTTTCTTATATCAAATAAGAAAAATAAAATCCCTTATTAAAACGTTTGTTATTTCCTTTTCTTCGAGCTCACAAATATTTTTTATTTACCTATTAAGTTTATAAAGAAAAAATAACGAACAGTCGAACACCAAACATGACACTTTTTTATAATATGATATGAAATAAGTTTTTCAAGGGTTTTTTATATGAAAAAATTGTATTTATAAATTTTTGTAAATTATATTATGTCTTATCGGTAAGAGTAAAGTATTACCGGTAAGATATAATATAATTTGAAATTTGTAATTTTTTTATCAATATACACTTTTTTTTTATATGCGGTAACATTGCATTCTCTGTAAGACCCATACTAACACTAAGTTTCTTCAATCCTTACTTCTCTGTGTGTTGGTGGTTTTTTTTGTATCGGTTAATAATTATTATTTTTATTACAATTTAAGAAATATAGTTTTTTTTTCATTGAACGAAGACTTGTATATATAGTTGTATTTATACTCTCCTTAAAAAATTCATTCTACTATTATTAAAAACTAAAAAATTGGTATAATATAATAAATTTAAACGAATATATTATATTTTAAATGAAAATATTTTTACAAAAAGTATTTTTTTTAATTGTAAAATATATAGACTAAAATTATCTTATATAATTTAAAATCAAATATATATATTTTTTTTTTCAAAATTTATATCATGGCGTCTTATATTATCGTAACTTATCATATCGTATTCACAGCCCTTACATAGTAAATTGAGAGTAACATGTACTTGCCGACATACCGGTAAATAAAGAGCAAGGGCACTCATAGATTGATTCGAATATTCATAAGGAAAAGATGACCCCACTTGAATGACGTTTCGTTCGTACCCATTACTTACATAATCTACATTTTCTGATTGGTTTAAGAGCATCTCGTCTCATACATTGACGATGAACCTATCCTGCTAACACGTGGAGTTTGTAGGGATAATCTTTCTTCGAATATAAAATTTAAGGTTTTTGTACATCTGCCTAAAAATAATCTCTATACTCGATCTCTATCTTAATAATTCAATGCCATTGTGAGTATTATTATAACTAAGTCATGTTAATTTTTAGCATCTCCGAATTTTGACAACCTCCCCTTACCTATAATTTTAATCACCGATGCCATTGATACTTGTTTTTGGACTTGCAGTGGATTAATCAATCCCTTTTTCTATTGTTGGAAGAAGCAGAACCATTGGTGTCACGTTCAATTGAGGAGTGTCTCTCTCCAAATCACTCATGCTCATTTTGAGCGTGTCTCTCTCCTGATCGCGTTCCATGTGGGCATGTATCTGGTATGATTCACGCTTCACATGGACGTGTCTCTTTCCATTGGGCGTGTTTGAGTGATATATTTGTGTAAATAATTTTAAAACGATTACATTTTCGTAATTTTTTTATTAAAAAAGCAATAAATTAATTTTTTTTCCTTTTCTTTCTCACATTTAAATTCTCAAATGTATATTATATTACATTTGTCATTTAACTTGGTTATCTAGAAATATTAGAAATACTGAATACATGCTCTCATTTGACACACAGATTTCAAATTTATAAATGATGAGAAAATATACTAAAATAAATAATGAAAAAATTATCGTTATTTTATATTTAGATGGTTGAGATTTTCACATAAAATATATATGTTCTGTCTAGGTGACAATGATGTCCGGCCGACGACTGATATGTTAATATTGGATGAGTGCCTTCTCTCAGGCACCTATACCTTAGAAAATAGCGGATTACTATGCACTACAATAATTATTGCATACGCAAAGGGTGAGGTGTGTGTGCACACTGACAACTAAAAGAGAGAGGATTTAAAATGTGTGTACTTTATTGATTTAAGTCTTTATTTATAAATGAGTTACATCACATGAGTGATTTTCTGAGCCTCTTAAGAATATTGGAAGTCCAATCTTTGACCTATTGATGTTGTATTATGATTAATACAATTATGGAATATTTTCTTAATTTTCCTTTAAGCCCTTCTAAAATATAAGCTTCTATGTCATGTCCATAACTATATCCATTACAAAATAAAATTTCATAAATTTAAAAACAAATCGATACATTTAATCGTATGTTTGGCAGATAAAAACTAGTTATTCATGAGTTTTTTTTTATCCCTATTTTTAGCTCTAAAGTCAAGATGACCCTTTATATTGCGAGACTTCAACAGTTCAGCTTGCTCAATAAGTATGTTATTGAATATTGATATGTCAATTAGAAAAATGAATCGCAAAGCGAGGAATTGATCTCAACTCATGTGATACGATAGCAAACACAGTAAGGAGACCCTAAAGCTTTAGGCGCTCTTTAGGTAACTGTAAATTCCTTACTTAAACTAATACAATAATATATTCAATACCCAATATAAATTGGAAAACATAGAACCATAAGCATTTTTGTAAAAATGAGTTGATATTTTTATCAGATCTTAGATACATAAGTGGTCGTCGTCTCAAAATATCTCTATCTGATAAGTAGAAAAATATTTTCTCCAGATACGCGCCAATAGACGGAGACATATCTGAATATTATTATCTATATATACCTTGATTTCAATATCAAATTTAGAATTACATGTTTTAGAAACTTAAAATCCTTTCCATTCAGACCAACACATTAAAAAATGTTGATTTTACTCTTAAATTTTGGTAGAGCTTATAATTTGTCCAAATGGATAGTTTTTAAGTCTCTAAACTTTTAGGGAGTGTTTGGATAAGAATTTTTTTTTTGAATACTAGGAAAATGTAATTATTAAGAAAATGGTTGGAAAGTGAGTTTAGTACCAAAATGTGTAAAAAATTGTTTGGTTGGAAGAAATTTTACCGGAAAAATTTGATAAATATTATAAAGTCTATGTTTGGCTTGAGTTAAAATATTGATGAAAAAATGAGTTACAATTACTAAAATACCCTTTTTTAAATTTTTTGAATGTAAATTACTTTAAAGTAACAGTGCTAGTTGAATATTTGTGTGAAGCTTGAATATGTGTTGAAATATTTACCCAGCTAAATATAAAATATTACCTCTAAATTGTCTTTCTCAATACTGACTTGACTTCAATTTTAACAAGCAATTATAAAAGACTATGCAAATAGCAAAGATGGAGAAATATTTCAAATCTTTCAAGCAAACATAAACTACATACTTTGCCAAAATTAAATGCATAAAAAAATATTTAAAAAGTTTGAACCAAACACCTCGATATTGAAAAAAGAAAGAAAGTAATTGTAATGAAAGCCAAAACAAAAAAAATGAAGTGATGTCTGGGTCCTACACAAACTTTGTTCGGGCCCCACCAATTTCAAGATTGGTCATTTTGCATGAAACCAGTTTTTCCACAACGAGTAGGAGGTTGCTGCACAAATTGCGCATTCTTTTATAAAAAAACGTAGAAAACAAACAAGGGCGGCGTTTGGACCGGCCCATTCCCATTCCCCCTACCAAGGCGCCGAATGCGATTCCCTTACTAATTATCATTTTCACTTTTCCATACCAATATTTAATTTTCTTTTTCATTTTTAAATAAAAATAAAATAAAAATAAAATTGATTCTCTTACTTTTCTTTTCGTTAATCGTTACACCTACTCCCTCCAACATGTTACCCATCTTATAAATATTATATTTTTCACACACACACATTAAACATAAATAAAATGAATTAATAATTTTATTTATTTAATTTATCCATCACGTCACACATAAAACAAAAATAAAAATAAAAGAAAGTGCAGGGAAACTAAATTGTATTGAATGAGCCCAAGTGAGTTCCTGTTTGTGTACATACATACGCGTTTCGTTTACCTTTCCTTTTCATTTCCAGCCAATATTTGTGTGATAGTTTTAATATAAATACAGAGTTTCCTTCTCCGTTTCCCCTTCAATCTCCGTTGCAATTAATTGCTGAGTTAATTTCGATGAAGCAGCAATTTCTAGATTCGCAGATCCATGGAACATGCCCATTTCTCTTTTATTATTATTAACCCAAACCCTCCCTCATTCTCATTCTCAGACTCAGACTCAGATCCATTCCCTCTGTTGTTGTTTGTTGCTGTAGCTGCAGCAGGAGGAGTAGTGCAAATACAATAATACCCCTGCACTGCATCGCACCGTGTTTCCCCCTCGAGAATGAAGAGTACGAATCGTTTCTTCACGATCGGGCTTGTGTCGGCGTGGTACTCATCCAACATTGGGGTTCTACTTTTGAACAAGTACCTTCTCAGCAACTATGGCTTCAAGTACCCGATCTTCCTCACCATGTGTCATATGACAGCTTGTTCCATGTTCAGCTACATCGCCATAGCATGGTTGAAGATGGTTCCTATGCAGACCATTCGCTCAAGGGTTCAATTCTTCAAGATCTCTGCTCTCAGCCTTATTTTCTGTGTCTCCGTCGTCTTCGGCAACATCTCCCTTCGTTACCTTCCCGTCTCTTTCAACCAGGCCGTCGGCGCCACCACCCCTTTCTTCACCGCCATCTTCGCTTACATTATGACCTTCAAGAGGGAGGCTTGGCTCACCTATCTCGCCCTTGTTCCCGTTGTTACTGGTGTCATCATTGCTAGCGGGGTAACTCACTCTCTCTTTTTCTTCTTCTTCTTCAATCCCTAATGTTGCTTTTAATTTTCGTTTTCGTTCGATTCTTTGATGTCGTTTATAGGATTGGTTTAAGTGTGTATATTCGCCGACGAAATTGTTATTGATGGAAATTGTATGTATTTTTGGATTTAATTCTCTAGTTCTCTATTGTTTGTTAAGTCCCTTACATCAGCGAAATACTTATATATTGTATCGATCTAATTTAATAATATTTTATTTTCAATCTAATTTTATTTTCGCCTCTTGTGTTTTTAGTAGAGTGGTGTATTACTTCATAGTAAAGAAAAATTAACATACGGGTTTTATTTTATGTTAAGTACATTTTAAAAATAGAATATAACAGAGCTAGAATATGAGCTTAAAAAAGTATACATTTTGTTTTCATTAGAACTAAATAGAACCATCATAATATGTAAGAATCTCTCCTTATTTAATCAGTCAATTATCTGGTTTAGGATTGTTTAAATGCCTGATGCCATACAAAATGAAGCTCTAACCAGTTACAGATAGAAACTTGTTTAGTTCATTTTGTGTTGCATTCTTTGTTTCCGATAGACTTCTCTGATGTCTTCAATTTGTTGTTGTTCTTGTTTTTTAAACCAAACTAACGAATTTATATGCTTTAGTTGCTGCTGAATCAAATTCAACTGTTGGTGTGAGACAGCTTGAGACTTAAAGTAGCGGTAAAAAAATTTTCTTTTTATGTATTCTTCAAGTGATATTTGTTCTTCTTTTCTTTCTTTGGTTATAGGGTGAACCGAGCTTCCATTTATTTGGGTTCATAATATGCGTTGCAGCTACAGCAGCACGAGCCCTAAAATCAGTGTTACAAGGAATTTTGCTTTCTTCTGAAGGGTATGTATAAGGGACATGCTAATTACCTAGTTACTTTGTTTTCCACTTTTGTTACTTCTCAAGATTATATTAAATGGGTACTGACATTCTTCTTCTTGTGTTTTAGAGAGAAGTTGAATTCTATGAACCTTCTCCTTTACATGGCTCCGATGGCCGTTGTTTTTCTTCTTCCTGCTACACTTCTGATGGAAGAAAATGTGGTTGGCATTACGTTGGCTCTTGCCAGAGATGATGTGAAGATCATTTGGTATCTGCTATTTAATTCATCCCTTGCGTATTTTGTCAACCTGACCAATTTCTTGGTCACGAAACATACCAGTGCTCTTACCCTTCAGGTATTCCTCGCTTATTCATATTGGCATTACGTCCTTGTTTTCTAAATTAAATATTTTTGTCGAACATATCTGCTGTCTTATTAGTTGGGAACATCTAATTTTTGTGGTTGTCATAAACAAGTCTATTATCATTTTACAGGATATATATATATATATATATATATATATATATATATATATATATATTAAGCATGTTCTTGTTTACATAAATTCTTGTTTTATTTTTTTATTTGTTCATTTTCGTACGTTTTCTGGTGCAGTCATTTTTATTTGGTTGTGGTTAATCTTGTCGCCTAATTAATTTTTATTATTTTTTTTATATTTCTTTGACAACAAAATTCTTTGGAAGCAAATTTGCCTGAGATCATTTGAGTTTCTAGATTGTCTAATTAATATATAGTCCAGTTTCTCAAAATTCACGATTGCGTAGTTTTCCAGTTTCTATTTAATAAGTAATTCAAGAAGGCAAGCCTGGAGCATTAGTAGAGTTTTTTCTTTGTGACTGAAAGGTCACAGGTTTAAATCTGTGAAACAGTCTCTTTGGAATTACGCAATAGATAAGGCTGCGTACAAGGATTGTCTTCACTTCACCCTCGCTAGTCGGGGTTTAAAGGGGAGTGGTAATAATATTTCGTAAGTAATTCAAACCTCTTGTAAAAGGAGTTCAGGGGTTGCTGCTGGAACTCTAAAGCTAGAGCTAGGCCAGTATTTTCAAACGCTGCTATTGGTACTGACAGGTCATGAGAATATAGAGCCAATGTTACTGAATTTTTTAGTAAAATTCTGCCTGTAAATTTCATTTTATTTATTTATTTAAGAGTTGTTATCAATGTTCACTGTTCAGTGACATTCGATGTGTTATTGACTCGGTTCATTAGATTTCTTGGCCCAACTGCTTCTATTTTTGTGTCAAGATGATTAGTAGATATATGATTTTTGGAAATTTGTATGAGCTAGTTTTTGGGATGTTTTTCAAGGAAATGTAGATTTAAAAATTAGTTTATAGCATTTTTCTCTTTAAAGGGTGTGTATATTTTCAGCATATGCTGTTAGATTAGTGAAAGGTCAAAGGAATGTGATTCAAATGCGGATAGGTAGATAGATCAGTGGCAAGATGAACATTTTTCCTGTAGTCTAGTATTTGCTATTTGCTTAAAGTGATGTGAATTGGTGCTTTAACAACTAATCCAAGAGTTGGCTCATACAGGTACTTGGGAATGCTAAAGGGGCCGTAGCGGTAGTAGTTTCAATTCTGATATTTAGAAACCCAGTGTCAGTCACTGGAATGATGGGTTATTCACTCACGGTCCTTGGAGTTGTACTTTATAGCGAAGCCAAAAAGCGAAGCAAATCATAATGATACTGTGATACATCATTCTTGGGAAGTAAGCAGAGAATTCCCTATATTTTGTTTTCATCACTGCGCAGACAACCATGAAGATTCCATGAGGCAAATTTGTTAGCATGATTGTGATCAGAATTCGGATGATTCAGTGTCTATATACTAAATTTTTTACCCCACATGGAAAGCCTCATTGAACGGGTTCCCCATTGCATTAGCAACTGTGCAGAAATAGCCCACGGTACAAAGTTCCAATAAGTGATCGTTGTCTCTCCTATACTCACGTTGGTATAATCGAGGAATGTCTTTTTATCATTTATTCTTTTAAGAGTTGTAGAATTGGATCTCCACTCAATTGTTGTTTACATTGCTTACATTTGTTTATTGATGACAAAATTCGTATTTTTTCTCATAGTAAAATATCTGTAATACCAATCAAAAATAATTATGCAATGTAGTTTTATGGTTTTTTGAGACACTGTTCAAAACTAGAAAATTATAATAGTAATGATTTACTATGTCAATTGACTGTTTCCGTATTGAGCAAAATTGTAAAAATCAAACCAAGTATCTCTTTTTTACTGGCAACAAAGTGTGTTCAGCTTTTTGTGTTTAAAACTGCCTGTAACCATACTTTTAGCAAGTTCTAAAAAAATGTGATTTTTCTCTAAATTTAAGCTAATTTAAACATAAAATAAGTTTCTCTAAATTTAGGAAGACAAACTGGGAAGTGCCGGCAAAATCATACCCATGAATTATAGAGGTACGATATTTGACGTTAATCACGCAATTGAAATTTGATACTTCATCTAAGAACCGTTAAATCAAAAAAGATTAATGGTATGACATGTTTACAAATCAAAGTCATTAATTTTTTTTGATCTAATGGCTCTCAGATGAGGTGTCAAATTTCAAATTTGATACTGGTGTCAAAGGATCCTACCTCATATATATATATACATGGAAAAAAATATTTCTACCGTCATTTTAGATTAAGTTATCTACAGCTACTTAAAAAATTAGGTCGTTTTGATTATATAGGAATAAATAAGAGTTATGTTGTAAGAAAAACAATTTGATCATGTTAAGATATAACAAAACAAAATCATTGAATAAAGTGTCTCATCCTATTTTTGTACTATTATTATTTTAGGTTTTATAATTCTCATTTAACATGAGAATTACAATTTTCCTACACACTCTTCGATTTTCGTGCTGACATGGGTCCTACATATAATTTTTTCTAACATATGGGTCCCACATGCTTTTTATCTCTACAACATAAGATTTCAATTCTTCTTCAACATGAGAATTATAAAACCCATTTATTTTTTGTCTTTTACTGGTGCATGATAGGAATTTTTTTCATGTAACATGACAAAATAAAGTCTCATATATATATATATATATATATATATATATATATATATATATATGTTTTGGCAAACCAATGGATGCTTTGTAGATTAACTCCGAAACCATCAAAACTAACTTTAACATGCAGAACTATTAAATGTAAAAGACACAAGATAATTAGAGAATTTACAGGCCATAAAAGCCCAAAATTGTTGACAAAAGAAGGTTCCATGAGGGCATAGGCTGGATTTTCACCACAATCCTGATCGAACAATGTTTCATAATATTAATTTTTAGTAGAGAAAAGTTACTGTTTGGTGTTGAATTAGACACCGCATTAAGTGGATTTAAAAGAAAGGGTATATGAGCTTCAGATAAGACATCTTGCAAATCACAGTTATTACTGAATGTGCATTGGACAAATACATCACACAATATAATTTGCACACCAGTGACGCCACGCATATATGATAAAGTAAGTAAATAAGAAAGGATCTTAGTCATGGTGGAATCAAAATGAAAAACACACACTTGCTCAACAGACAAAAAACTAAAACTAATAGAAAGCACAAAGATTCAAGATTGTGGAACAGAGGTTGCTGCCCGTTTCATTGATGCAGACTTAATAAGATGATTATAGCTCCCTTTCTCCTTGAAAAGCTGGGAGAAATGATGCTTGCAGTACAAAACGCCCTCAAGGGCTGCATAATTCGATGGCGTTATGGGACAGCCACCATGTGAGCATTTGAAACATGATTTGTGATAGGCCTGACCTTCCACTGTTACCTACACTCAAAACCAGAAATAAACTTATAGATGATATGATAACTAGAAAACTTAAATCTTCTAATTCTGGTTAATTGTGCAGATATGTAGTAATTACTAATTATAATCACGGTTTACTCAATTAGGCAATTTATATACAAATAAATTTACTTGAGGTTGGGAAAGTGTAGGTTTGTCCAGTTTGATAAAGTAATATCCCATCCCCTTTCAGATGGGGCAGCCCTTACAGGTGAGGTAAAAACTAATAAATCTTATAGCTTTCAATAAGGAACATTGATATAAGAAAAGTCCATTTCTGAGTTATAAAAAACTACTGTATTACAGATTAATCTTACGACAAAAAAATAGGAAATGAATCATTTATGTGATACGAGGATACGTGAGAGGACTCAACAAATTGAGATGCAAATCAACGGTGATATAAGAATATATTAAGATAAAGGGTAAAAAAAGGTCATCTTTGATTTGTATCTCGATGAATTAAGATTTCTTCACATAACTTCATACTACATAAGATGATCTATTCCCCATAAAACATTAGATATAGAATCATTCATATGTTTTCATCTAACAGCTTAAACTTTTCAATGGTTGATTCATACATAACATGGTATCAGGTCATTTATGAAAATATGATCTTGTCCCAAAAGTTAAATTTTCTTGTCAAATTTCAGCACAAGATGGGATTTGGATTTCAAAGATTGACATTTGGATTTCAAAATCTCTACAGATAATTGATACCATAGCTTGAAACCATAGGAGGAAAATGGTAAAACTAACTCATGTTTTCAAACACTGGTAATTTAGCCCAAAACTTATCTATATTTTCAAAAAAGGAAGCTAAGGGGCACTTCACATGCTCCACTAAACCCCTCAATTTTCGAAAAGACATATGAATGCTAAATGTTTTGTTTACTCACATACCATACCATATAACTAGTGAACTATAGAGGAGGACAAACTCATTAATCTACTGGATCTGAATGTGAATAATAATAAAGATCCTCGTCCTTAAGGCCTGGCCAACATGTAACAGGTGCTTATGAACCATCTAACGAATATCATCAAATAATTTGTTGATGAGATTTCTGAATCCTACCTTCTCCAATGGATAAGCAGTTTTGCCACATGTTGAACACTTTTCTTGTGTCCCAGAAAACATGCTAGCAGCTTTACTAGGGGACCTTGTCTACAATAAAAAAAGAAGAAGAATAAGAAGATGGCAATAGTAAGCAAAAACAACAAATGGCATTGACCCATATATAAATTGCTCAATCACAATGAAGTTTCGAAAATACAAATTTATGATTTTTACCAGCTCAGGAGTTGTCTTGTCAGCTGCTTTTGCAGCTGTTCAAATTGAAATTATCACCAAGTAAACAGGTATCAGATTCAGAAATCACAAAAAGAGCTCTATCATGGAAGAAGAAAAGGATGAAGAAGACATACGTGACCGGAAGTTCTTCTTGAAACTGCCAGTCTCCTTGAAGAGCTGCTCATAATGAGGCCTACAGTAAAGAACACCTTCCATGGAGGAATAGTTGCTCAGCTGAAACATAAACATCATCAATAACAGTCAGTGTAAAAAGTTGTTCAGTATTATAAGAACTAAAAAATGTAATTACAGCAATCTAGTAAAACACTCCAAAAGTGTAAAACAACCAATTTAACCTATAAACTTAATCTCCATCAATAATAAGCCCCCTTGCACAAAAGTTTATTGGATTTGAAGTGTGGACGATATATGGTCCCCTCCTACCTATCATAAAAAACTCCACAATATTCAATTATTTATTAATAGAACGGAACTTGTGACCATTTGGTAACTGAGGAGCTCTTGATACTATATAAAAGAACTAATTCAACCTAAAAACTCATCAATAGTTTAATATTATGTATCTATAACAAAAAGTTCATACTATCCGTTCACAAATCCTCCCCCTTCCCCTCTTCACGATGAAATCATACTTTATTGTTGTTGATCAAGTTGAATAACCAGTATCAATTCTCTAAATATTTATCTTTTCTTGTGGGAATTTTACATAAGGGGCAATCTAATAAATTAAAATAGAGAACACAATTTCGAGAGTGAAAAAAAAAAAAAAAAAAAACTCACAAGGCATTAAATCAACAATGCAGCTTAAAAAAACAAAAGCAAACAAAGAAAAGAAACAACCTTTAATGTTCCTTTGCAATGAGAGCATCTGAAGCAAGCTTTATGGTAAGCAGCGCCATCAGCAGATAGCTGATCAACGGGATAGACTGTTTTTTCACAGGCCTTGCACTTTTGTTGGGTGCCAATAAAAGACATCTTTGAGGCTTTTGGATCTAAATGCTCAACTCAGTAGATTTTCCTTTTACAATAACACCTCAGTTGCTACATGAATAGAAAACAACCAAACAGATAAAAGTTTTGAGTTAAATGGTCAAAGTAAAAGATAAAAATATCTTTCTATTTGTCTGTTTGGTTGCAGAGAAATTTTAAGAGATCGAGTCAAAGGGTAGAAAGTTTGTAGGTACCTTGTTGAGAGGAAAGTGAAAAATAGCAGATCGGTGAGCTTGTGAAGAGAGATAGACAGCACAGGACTGAAGAATATATGATGTTGATAACAAATGAAATGATGATGATGAGTAAATGACCATAAATGTCAAAAAATGTAGTAACCAATAATGTCGAAAAATGTAGTAACCAATAATTTTAAAATTTCACAAAATTTGTGTCTATCTATTTGTTCGTTAACGATAATTAGAATCATTTATTTAATTTATATAAAAAGAAAAATAAATAAATAAAATTATATAAAATTTTAATATGAGGTGATCTATTTTTATGAAATTAATATTTTTTATATTATAAAAAATAATTTTATTTTCTATATATATATATATATATAAATATATAAGATTTATATTTTTTTCATTTTTTTATATAAATTATATATATTTTTATATGTATATAAAATAATTTTATCGGATAAACTATTTGAGAAATAGGATACAGATATCATTGCGGGTCCACTGTCAGCTTTTGTATCCTCCCAATTAATAAATCTTTGTTGTTATTGTTGCATCTAGATTCAATGCATTTCATCAATAGAAACATTAGGAACACCGATTAAAATATCATTGTTCACCAACTTTTTTACCTAAAAGCCACACGAATAGTGTTATTTCCCAATCTGCCACAGGGGCAAGTTCGCTACCCGATGTAGCGAACTCGGTTAGCTGACGTGTCACATTTCTAGTGGATAACAAGTACCAAGTTAAAGAAAAAAAAAGTTTGAAGTTCGTTACATTGGGTAGCGAACTTGGTTAAAACCAAGTTCGCTATCCCGTGTAGCGAACTTGGTGTCCACTAAAAACATGACACGTCATCAAACCGAGTTCGCTACACTGGGTAGAGAACTTGCCTCCGTGGCAGATTGAGAAATAACACTGTTCGCGTGGCATTTAGATATACACGTCAGAGGAAAGAGAAAAATTTTGACATAAAAAAGAGAATTCTAACTGATATGTAATGCTCTTATTGATAAAATGTACTGAATCTTTAGTGCAATAATAATAGCACCAATAATTTATTCCCTCCGAAGACCAACTACATAGGACCATGGCCTACAACTCAGTCATAAGTAAAACATTTTGCTAAAATCGAATAAAACTACATAATTAGGACCTAAATTCGTCACCTCTAAACGGAGAATATCTTCATTGTTATCGATGCAATGAGTTTTTGATATATCTTTTACTTATAATATAATATGTATTTTTTATATTAAATTATTAATAAATAATTTATTTTAAAATTAAATGAAAGAGTGATTTAATAAAAAATAAAATATGTATCACATTATAAATAAAAAATATACCAAAAATTCAGTACATCTATAAGCATAGAAAATATTCTCCTCTAAATGAGTTGAAACAACTTTGTACTGTTAATCCAAGGGCTTGATGATTTCTTTCTTATCTCATAACTATAGAAATAAAATTACTTCAGACAAAAAGAGAAATAAAATTAGAGCAATCATGAACGGAGATTGATTACGAAATTTTGCTGGTTTAATTGGACGGATTGGGCCAGTAAATGTAATTTAAACTGCATTTTTCACTATTAATTATAAAATGGAAAATAAAACTGTAGTTTCCACAAATATCCCATTTTAGATTTAAGACACGCCATGTTGCATGCGCAGCGAATGAATCATTGTAATGCTTGAAAAAATAATTTGCACCAAAAGTTCGTTTTTGAAAGTTAATTGTTGGGAAAATATTATCTTATGCTGTAGGAGAGTATTTTTATCTCCTACACATACATCGACTTCCGTGTTGCTTTTTTTTCTTTTTCTTTAAGTGAATGGATCTCACTCATAACTATCTCTATAACATAAGAGAGCTTCTCTTATGTCACATGAGATTAATAAAGTCCTTAATTGTTTGTACTAAAGCCATCTACGGCAAAAATTAGTGCATATTGAGATTTATAAGAAGGTTTTTTTTTTTTTCTTTTTAAAAATATCATTATAGGTCAAAATTCAACTTATTAGGCTGAAATATGAACAATATCCGACACGGGAGTACAAATCTGAGAGTTTCCTTTCTTTTTTCTTTTCAGAAGAAGGAGCAGATTTCGTATCAACAAAATCTATAAAATTTGGGTTATGCCTTTTATGTCAAATAAAAAAATATATATTAGGATTGGGCAATAGAAAAGGACAAAAATTGGATGATTTATCAGTCATGATGAAAGACATCATTTTCTTACATTACTTTTATCTTATGTAGCAGCGATACCGACACGGGATATGTGACACGATACGATACGACATTCTGACACGTTAACTAAAAAATGTTAGATTTTGACATGTTAGGATACGTTTTGATATTAAATAATATTTTTAATTTATAAAAATGTATATTATATTCAATATTTAATAATTTAACAAAAAAATGAATCTCATAAATTTTGCTAAGGAACATAAGATATCTCAAATACTTATATTAAACTCAATAAAATAGTAATCGTAATCCAACAAATCTAATAGTTGGAACTAAAAACTCAACGCAACGCAACCTTTAAACCTTTTTTTGAATTTCTATAAAGAATGTTGGAGTGTCGGAGTGTCCGAGAGTGTCGGAAACGACACGTCAATGTTTTTGAAGTGTCGGTGCTTTATAGCTTTTACCCCACTTCGTTTTAAATAAAAAATGTATATTTTTTTATTTTTTATTTCTTAATTAAGTAAGGGATAGGATATTGTGACACACAAATAATGTTACGCACAATGTTACGACCACATCTTAACTGTTGATTTCTGTCAATCAACGGTTATCATTTATTGCGAATTAATAATTAATACAAAACATGATAAAATTATGAGATCAAACAGCCAAGCAAAAATGATGAGCCAACACATTTATCATATAATGCGAGCCAATAAACATTGTAATTACACTCATTAAGAATACACAAATTGATAGTTGTTAATTGGTTAAAAATTTATTTACATTTCATTTTATGGTAATCATCATTATGACGTTAATCAAATAAAATATGTTAATTAAAAATGAAAATGAATTCTTTTATGAGAAAAAAATATGATATAATTATGTGAAAATATTACAACTATATAAAGATAAATCAATTACTACGATTTTGAATTACTTATTTCAATATTTTTTTTTTTAATTTTTATTATTATTGATCCACTTTTACATGATTAAGATCTTTTACTTAATCCTATTATATTTTTTTAACGTAAGAGAACTTAGGTCGAAAAATTATGTCGTTCATTATTTAAAAATAATATAAACAAAAAGTCGGTTACCATTGATCGTAATTTATAGGCACAAGTACCGATGTGTCACTTTTTCTAAACTATTTTTTAACATGTTATGTTGTGAAAATAATATTTTAAAATGTCGAACTGTTTATTCTCATTTAATCCACCAGCGAAAGTTACAACGTGATAAAATCCAAGTCCGTTTCAATGGGCATATGATAACGAACTAGTCCAGTGACATGAAAGGGGCTGAGCTAGAACAAGGTAGACTATATTGTGTTTTAAAATCTAATCCCATCTCTCGGGTTGATCCGGGTCAATCTTGATCCCTTCCTTTTAAAGGTTGGGGTCACAAGTTGGACCATATATGCACATCGACTCTTCCAACTCCAAAAATCCGGCCGAATTTCAGTGACTCTCGAGTCAGAGGAGTCAAAGGGGATCGGTGCATGTTTTTTTTTAAAAATAAATTCCATGAAACGTCATTTTATTAAAATAAAATAAAATAAAAATACTTGCAAACGTAAATCTATTCGTTCTCTTCTCTCCCAGCAGCCTAGACGTCTTCAATCTTCTCCTCGTAGCCGAGAATCTTCTAAAAAATGTAAGAATTTTATCCATTCAAAACGAAATCCTTATCGTCGTCGATCGAAAACAAAAATTAATTCTTACTCCCTTTAAATTTTTCTTTGTTAGGACCTTTTCAAAAGAGGCAAACCGGGTAGCGTAGTGACCCATTAGAATATGAGTTTCGTACTTTGATATCTTAATACTTTAATTAGGTTGTGTAATATTGACTTGTGATTGTAATTGGTGAATTGTGTTAAGTATATTTTGAATCTTTCATGATTAGTGGTTTGTTTTTTAATATTTTCATATAGGATATATATATTTATAATTTTTTAATATATAAAATCGGGTCAGCGTAGTGACCCCGTGACCCCTGACCTCGGCCGAGTCGATGGTCAGGCCGGGTTTTTAAACACTGCTATATATTCTCATTGCAGATAAATTATATTAAATTAGTAATATTATTTTATAATTAAATTGAAAATTTATATTAAATTAATTGAACTAAATAATAATTAACAATGTTAATATTCTCACTTATTGGTATTTTTCAAATTTTAAAATATCAAATTTATTGTTAATAATGGTAATTTAACAATAGTATTTCATGTTCTTTTCTATTTTTTATATGGAAATAATTATTTTAATAAATTAATCAAATTGAGATTAAATTTGTATTATTTTTAATATTAAATTAGAAATTGATATCAAATTAGAAATTGATATCAAATTCACTAAATCAAATAATAAGTAATAATGTGAATAATTTTTAGGGATTTATTTTTCTCATGTTGCATGAGAAAACAAACCCTTCCTACACACACCATAAAAGGGTGTGCCACTTATTTTTTTGTTTTTTGTTTTTTTTAAATAGGTGGGTCCCACACTTAATGTATCTATGACATGAGATTAGAATTCTCCTACAACATAAGATTTACTTTCCCCTAATTTTTATTTATATATAGGTAATCTTTTAAAATTTCTTCAAATTCAAAAACTTCAAATTTGTTATCAATGATCACAAATATTTTTTTATTTTATTTTCTAATTTTTTGAAAAACAAGTATTCATTTGTAAATAAGTATTTTGATAATAAATTAAACAAAGTGACATTGATTTTTTTTTATCAACTTCATTGAATTAAATATAATTAACAACATAAATAATTATCATTTGTCTTGTGATATTTTGAAACTGTTGTAAATTCAAAAATATTAAATTTATTTTCAAAAGATTGAACTGGATAAACAAGAACACGAGAACCATTTATAATATTTAATATTATTTTATTCAATTAATTTAATGCAAATTTTTAATTTAATAACAAAAAAATAAAAATTAATTTAAGGTAATTTATGAGAGTAAGAGAATAAGGATGATGGAATGAGTAAAATTTAGAATCAACTATAAGGATTTTAACAAAAACTAATGAGTACTATGCAAGAACCGTCCCAACTAGCCACTAGCAAAATTGGTGAGATTGATAATTGTGCCTTTCAAAGTGTTTCCGGAAGTTAAATTATTCCAAATGCGGCAATATAAATCTATAACAGACACGACTTAATTAAATACAAATGCTAGATCATGGTGACGATTCTCATGAAGTATTGGTTAAAGTTGTGTACATAAGGAAATAAGACATGACTTATATAACTCATGTATGAAAGACTATGATTTAATAAAGGACTAAATTATAATTTTGGTTGGCTTTAAAAGGCGTTTCTGAACTGTTTCATGGGAGTAATTTTTTTTACGGTTATGTGGAGTTATCCTTTGGTAATAACGGATGGTTTTAATTACCAAAAATAATAATAATAATAACGGATGGTTTTGAAATAAAAATATTCAGTCTCCACCTAGAATAATTTTATGCAATACTAGTGTTACAACTTGCCATCAAGAAAGAAAAACGTAACGAAAAAATGGGACAAGAGACCAATAAAAAATCAACAATTACGAAATATTCATAGATAAAAAATGTTAGTATACTTTTTTTTGGTAAATAAAATGTTAGTATACTTAACCCTGATGTATGTGAGAACCATCAACTCCAAAGATCCGAATTATGTTGTGTTCTTGTATGGTAGAGGAAAAATACATATGAATGCATACAAAGGATTCAGATCTTCTATCTCAATTTCTTATATTTTTTGTTAAAAAATAAAATAAAAAATTATTCAAAGTAAATATCTTCAAAGTGTATAAGATAAATTTATGTTCATTCTTACTTTATCATAATCTTAAATGTTAATAGTGAATATACATTTATTAATACAAACTATCTTTAAATAAGCTTTATCGATTCTTCGTTCCCCATTGACAACTTATCAAGAAGATAAAAGATCCAACAACTAACATTGCTAGCTAAGAGAGAAATAAAACTTTTAATTGACTTATCAATATTCTTTAATTAGAGAGGTAAGAATTTTAAAATAATTTTAGAGGCCATTCATGGTGAAGATGAACCATGTCTCCTCCCCTGGTTAATTACCTGTAAGTCACAAAGCCATATAACCTATGAGTTATGAAGACAGATTAAATATCGAGTTTAAGGACCATTTATTATATTGATTCCAAACCCCCACAAGAGATAATATATACACATATATGTGCACCAAATTCAGAAATAGATATATATAGTAGTTGCATGAGAAAAGAAACTAGTAAATTACATCAGAGAGAGAGAGAGAGAGCCAGTGGCCATATTGTAAATCTAAAGATTTCAATCTCTAGTCCTCTTTGGTAACAAACAACTAACTAATTCACCCGCGGTTTCCCAAACAGAAGAGAAAGCAGCATGTTTCATACATTCATCTCCCTCACTCTCTCTCTCTACCTTCTCTCTCTCCTCCTCCCAATAACCGCCTCGCTTCCCTCCATCGGCGTGACGTACTCGGCGCCCACCAACAGCCAAGAAGTAGCGTCGTCGTCGGCGTCGGCTGAGAGAATCAGCGGCGCCATGGGGAGGCTAAAGCTGAGGTGCCTCCGGCTAGAGAATTCAGAGCCAGCCATCATACGGAGCTTGTTGTACACGAACGTCACACTCTTGCTCACCATCCCTAACTACATGGTCACCCCAATGGCCACCAACAGGTCCGTTGCATTGCAGTGGCTATACACGCACGTGGTGCCGTTTTACCCACGTGCCAAGATAACCACCATCTCGGTGGGTAACGCCTTCACGGACGTTTACCCTGAATCCATCAACAACCTCCTCCCTGCAATCTCCAACGTACACCTGTCCCTCCGCGATCTTGGCATCCGCAAGATCTCCGTCTCAACCTCTTTTTCCTTCGTCACCACCATCTCCACTCCCTTTCCACCTTCCTCAGCTCAGTTTCAAGAACCCGCCGGCGTTAACCTCTTCGGTCCACTCCTCCAGTTCTTGACAGACACGAACTCCTCCTTCTTGATCAACGTCTACCCTTACAACCTCTACAGGCTCAGGGCAGAGATACCGCTCGGCATTGCGCTCTTTCAAGAACATCCTTTCAACTTCCGCGATGACTTCACCACCGGCGTCCGGTACCGGAATCTTTTCGACCTGATGGTGGACGCGGTGGTGAGCGCCATGGCAGTGGCGGGATACGAGAGCATTCCGATTGTGGTGACGGAGACGGGGTGGCCGAGCGGAAGCGCGGCGGCGAACGAGGTGGATGCGAATTTGGGGTATGCGGAGATATACCTGAAGGGTCTGGTGAAGCACCTCAAGTCAGGGATGGGGACGCCTCTGCTGAGAGATGGTGTGCGTGAGGTTTATGTGTACGAACTCTTTGATAAGGAAAGAACGAGTCGCAATTGGGGGATTCTCTACCCTAATGGCACCGCCAAGTACCGTATTGATTTCTCTGCCTCCTCCTCCTCCTCTCTAGAACCTTCTTACATTCACCTCGCATTCGCTATTTTCTCGCTTTTGCTTTGCTCTGTGTTGGTTCATTAGGTTTCAATTTTCATTGACTCATTATAATGGGATTTTGAAAAAACTTTAGTTAGTAAAAACTGCATTAGACTAGACTGACGTCAATAGGTTTCTTTTTAATTTTCTCTTTTTTGATTTGTTAATTGGCTTTCATGTAGAGACTGACGTCAATAGTTTTTTTCTTCTACTCTGTAATCGGTTTGTTATGATGATATTGTGAACTATTCACAATTAATTGAAATAATCTGGTCTATAAGCAAAACATGCATGTGCTGCATGTAGGAGAGTAATCATATTTTGTATGGCCCAGTGAGGAAGATATTATTTTAAAAGCATACAATGCTCTTTTCGATCTGTCGGTTACTTTTCTTTTGGCAGACACGTAATTGCTACATATCTGATATGAACAAAGCGAGATGCAGAGAATAAAAAAAAATAACAAAAAAATCCAGCATCTAAGCTATCCTTTGCTCTGCTCAAACTTGTCACATATAGGGTCCGGAAGCAAAAATTTTCGGATTCCTGTATCTGCAACAGCCAAAGCATCCATATGGCTGCTTATGATACTTTTTATACGGAAGCCTTTCGTCTGTATCACATTCATTTGCCTCGAAAAGCACCCATTCTCTTTGGTAGAATCTTCATCTTCTGCTCTGCAAAAAATGCAGATCATTGGTGGTATGAGATGCAGTTCTGATGTATGTTTTTGGTAAAGCTAAAGCATAGTCTTGTCTTTTGTTTTAGTGGGGGAAGGGATTGTTTGTAAAGCTTGGTATAATATCACAAATTTCAAGCACAGTTAGAGAATCCCTAAAAATAGCTGCTTCACCTCTAACATTATGTTTGGTAAACATCAATGTAAGAAGAACAATTTTATGCACTGAAAACAATTTCAGAATCCAAAAGACTTAAAAGTGAGAGAAGGCTAGATTCTTTAGAAGGGAGGTTTAGATATCTACCGTAATCCCCGTATCCAGGATATATGAAAGGAATATAATCACAATACCTCATCATCAAGGAAGACCAACCTCTAAATCCAGCAGAGACAAGATGATTGATGGTGACATTTTGGTATGTTCCGGGCTCTCTTGATAACAAAATTATAGACCATCCACCAGCTTGAAAGTTCATGTATAATCTTAAAACAAGCATGCGCTTTAAATTCTTTGCCTCTAAGATACAATTGCTAATGCTGTTATTATGAAACCCACACCAAAAGAAAACCTTGTCAACTTACTGCTAACAACAAATGATCTGCAACAAGTTGGATAAACTACATAAAAGATATATAATAATAACCAATGGAGAATGTACAACAAGAAATATAAATTGGTAAACTGATTCAAGTTGGAGTAACAAACCGTTTATAAAAAAAAAAAATTAGATACCATAATTACATCTGTCCCTGATCCGAGCATTTATCTACATTTTATACATTATCTAGAATTAGGAAACATAAATGGCAAGAGGATCTGCTAACACAACAAACAACAAAGTTCATGAAGATTGATATTACATGGTACTTCCAAGAATTTCCCTATGAAAGTATATCTTCAAAGTGGAGAAATGTATTATGTTGAAAAGGACAAGCAGAATTTCTTTTACAGATACTCAAAACAGAACCTCAGATTCATTCTTCAGAGAAATTATGTCCTCAAAAAACACACTAGCTCTTGGTAGACAATTAAACGTTTATGACCTGATAAACTCGGCCAGCTTCAAAACTAACCTTGACATAGGGCAAGAAAATTAAAAGGATCTGCTTAGATGACTAGATTACCTTTCAAACAAATTGGAAGAATGAGGATTTGGTGGGAAAATGCCATCTATGTCCATCAACACCGCATCAAGACCATCATCCGATGGTCTAACACTGTTGAAGTAATCCTCAATAACAGAGTTGGTCAGATCCAAGTCTCTAGCATATTGACCTCCTCTGATATACTGTAAGGCCAGGTCCTTGCAGATGTCAGGAAGACTATCTCCTTCCAAGTTATTGAGCTTAGCGTGCAGAGAATAAACCTTGCAATAACTGTAGTCGCCATTTATATTCTGAAGGTCAATAACTCCAGCATTTTTATTTTGACAAGATTGCAGCATCACTGCCAGTGAAATCAGCAAAGTAATTAATAAAAGCCCGGCGGCGCCAAGTGCAGCAACGAATATGGTTGCAGCAAAAGATGTGAAGTAGAATCCTGACTCCATCACATAACTGCTCCTCACCTCTGTGATCAGGAAAGAAACAGGATAAATATTCATCAAAATTATGCTAAAATAATGATGGGAAGGACAACCTAGGCTGAAAGATAAGATATCTTGGCCGAGAACAAGTATTTGTAGCCTTTAACAGTAGGTGCTTCAAACATGTCTGCTATAGATAATAATATTTCTTATTCATTTAGAGCCAAAGATTAACAAAGCTGGCACTACATACCAGAACCACCTGAGAGACTCCGTGCAGAATGCATCTGCTCCATTTGATGGCCATAAGCAGACATAACTTCAAGCTATATGTATCCTAGAATCTAGTTCTAGTAATACCTACAGTTTGCTTCCAGAAATCAAAGGGGTATCCTGAAATTTTAGAGAAATTTTGGTCATCATTGATAACGTCAGTTTCAACCATCGTGACAAACTAACAAAAATCACGCAATTGGATTGCTGTATGTTAGTTCCTACACAAAATCAGAACTTACAAGCAAATACAGTGAAGCCAATGAAACATTTCAACACAAAGGGATGAGGAGATAGAGGGAAGAAGCAATCACTCATCACCCCAAATAACTGTTCAACAATTCTTTTCTTTTTTTTTCATCAGAATTGTCACTTCTGTTGCTAGTACTGCTATAAGCCTCTGCCTTATTCACTAAACCTGGATATTCTAATCCTATCTCCGAATTCAACCACTCCATCAAACATCAACAATGAAGACAATTTGGATAACCCCAATTTCAGAAATATAAGATAGAAGCTGTGTAGATCAAAGTTTCAGTTTCAGTTTCAGCTGGCACACGATCTGAGGTGTCTGAAAGTTCCTAACGACATGAACTCCCAATCACCCAGCACTACAAGAAACAACTCAAATTGGTTCAAGACAAAGGTGAAAGACAAAGAGTAGAAACTGACCCAAATAATGCAGTTTTGTTAGATCCCAATTAGCTTCACAAGTCAACCCCAGAAGAGAATTAACACGAAACAAGCAACCACACCATCTTGTGAATTATGTGCAGTTAAATCGGTGATTTGGGAAGGCAGTGAGAGAAAAGAGCACCAGAGAAAGACATTACAATGTGCCAAAGCGAATTAAGAATTAAGATGTTGAGTAGAATTATGCAGAGCACAAATGTGATAGATATTTCGCCATTGGTTGTTCTGACTGAATCACTCTTATTTTAATGTAACTTCTCCTCTGTTTGTCTAAGCCTTCCTTTCATGGGAAAAAAAACAATCATATAGTCGAAATCATTAATTTTGTCCTACGCCAATAATGTCAAAAGACATATATTATTAATTTTTTTCTCATGTAATTTGAGATGCTTATTTTTTATGTGGACCCCACTATTTATTAGAAAAAATAGTTATTACACACAATTCGATGGATTACTAAGATGATTCCCCTTTATTTATCTTAAAATAATTGCTAACTAGAGGATAAGCACAATCACCGTAAAAGACAAAAGAAAAAAACCGAAATAATATGAACAGACAAAAAGATGAATAAAAGATAATAATGTATTTACGTCACTGTCACAGCCTCACAGGTTGCATTCGCTTACAGGTTACAGCTACCTCTTGCGAACTTGCGTTCATGACTGGAATACTACACACATAAGCCACTTGTCCATAGCTCAAGTGATGTGGGCGCGGGTGGTATAAGATTAGTAATGATCTAGATTCCAGATTCAAATCCCATGTGATAAAAATCTCTCTCTCTCTCTCTCAATAATGCACAAAATAGTCACTTTTAGAGCAACAACATGGATTGCTCTTGCATGTGCATCATCATTCATCAATTAAAGACAGACAGTTGTACAATGGAATTTTATCTAGATCTTTATCGAACCGAGGATCATGTCGTCCTTAAAATCAGATTTCAGAGACGCGGGGCCAAACAGATTTCAATCATTTACATTAAAATCATCAACTAAAATGGCTTCCTGTTATCAGTCTCTACGCTAGATAGACAAATACTAGTAGAATATTTGCAGGATGTTCAAGTTTGTAAATTGGAATTGAATAATCTCCTGTTAATAGAGAGAGAGAGAAAAAAGTGAAAAACAATTACAAGAAAATTCGCTGTTATTTGTGTAAGGTTATTAAACTTATTTTTATTTCTTTTTTCTGAGCTAACGGGAAAAAAATCTGGATTCTTTTGAATTAGTCATCTTGCCAGCTTTGGTTAATTAATAAAGATTCTCGTACTAGAGAAGTTGCTGTCACTATTTTCCCCCATTTAAAAATCTGAACCACCAACAATTGACTTCCAATGCTACTACTACTTATGATGCACGGACATAGGACACGACACGCCGACACGTTAATTTTAAAAAATGACATATTTTGACACGTTGGGATACGTTTTGATATTAAATAATTTTTTTAATATATATAACATAATTTATAGTTAATAGATATAGTAGTCCTTAATAAGTCATATAACTAATCAAATATTCAAATTTCATAACATAAATATAAACAAAAATAATTTTTCGTACCTTGTTAATTTTTCATGTCAAATTTCATAACAGAAAAAAATTGATTTATAAATGATTTTTTTTATTTTTAGTTAATAAAATAAAATTAAGACTAAAAAAAAAACGTTTCCAAACGTTGATCACGTGTCAGAAAAAATTAACTGCGTGTCGAAAAAACATGCCAGAACGTATCAAAGAATTGACTACGTTTCTTAAAATATTAACCGCGTGTCAAACGCTTATTCAAAAAAAAATTACGAGTCCGTGATTTGTAGACTACTACAATCAGAGGATAATAAAAAGGTTGATATGATATATCTCTACATATGCTTTAAGGATATTTGTAATTTGTCATAAAAAAAATAAAAAAAAAGTCCGGTGATTTTAGAATTTGATTTAAAATTTAAAAAAAGGGTTAAATCCCGTGTAATTTTACAATCTGATTTAAAATGATTTTTAATAATTTCGCAAATAAACAATTATCATTTATTAGAAAGTAATAATTAATTAATGAATTTGATTGATGAACATTATAATTGTTTGATATCAAATTCCAAAGTTTGATACCGATATCAAAAATTCTTGTTCCATATATATATATATATATATATATATATATATATATATATATATATATTGTCAAAATTAGAAATCCAATAAAAAAGTTGAATTTTAAAAGAACGCTTAAGCTTTGATTGGTTAAGTCATTTGAAGGAAGAAATGTAAATTTTAAAGATTTCAGAAATTCTGTTATTTTGGAGTCAATAGCAATGTTATAAAAATCGGACCAACCTGGCCGGGTCGACTCGAAAACCGGTGAACCGGTCATGTTATAGAATCGGTGTGACCCGGTGCGACCCGGCCAGTTTTCGTAAAAACTGGTGACCCAATCGGTTCAACCAGTGACCCGGCCTGATCTATAAAAAAAAAACTAAATTATTTTCATAAATTAATGTCTTGTGTTTTTTTACTCTCAAACACAAATGATTTGTTTTCTTTTGAAATATTTAAGTAATTTGTAGCTTATAACTTATTAACTTACATAGATTATGTACCTACAACACTAATACTATCTTGATTATGCAATATACAGAAAATTTTGATTTGATTTATAGTTAGAGTTGTCGTTTACCGAACATGAAACACTAGTATCACAAATATTGTATGTTCAATTGATCTTTTGTTGGAGAATGATATGTAATTTATTATTTTCATATTAAAATATTTGAAATTGATATATATTTTTACAAATATTTAAGTATATTTATAGTTTTTTAATATAAATTATAGATTTACATATACTTACCAGATCATGCGGTTGAACCAGTGACCCGTACTCGACCGGTATTTAATAACATTGCTCAATAGTGTGATACCCACAGCAGGAAATAAGGTGTAGAATACTGAACATATATGGTTTCAATCCGACCCATACTTTTTGCTTAATCAGACCTATGTTCTTATTCAGGTCTGACACTTCATACTCTACAATATAATTTGCCTGTAAGTTACAAAACCCTTAACATAATCCCATATCACTATAGTTCTTCATAATCAGTGAACATTATGTCCTCTTTCTCTTTCCCAAAATGAAACATTTTATTTAAAAATTCATTTATCGACTAATGGTCAATAATGGTGAGGATGTCGCAAAATTGCGTTGGCAGTAGCCTCTTTAACTAATTAACTAACATCTTGAGAAAACTGTTTCAACCACTTGAATCCGGGATCTTCATTCCATTCACAATATTCACTGCGTTTTCTACAGTTCTGGCCAATTGAACAGCTGCTCCAACATAAGTATCTGGTGTTAACTTTAACAGATTCATCTTTGCTTCTTCTGGAATATCTAACCCTTCAATGAAATCTCTTATGCTCTCTTTGTTAACTGCTCTCCCTCTTGTTAGCTCTTTTAACTTCTCATAAGGCTCGGGAACACCATATCTTCGCATAACCTAAGTAAAGATTTGCAAACAATTATAATAGAATTTTTAAAAGGGATGGCAAAAAGCAACATCAAGAGAAGTATGCATAAAAGAATCATGCACACAAATGTAAACAATTCAACAGATAATGTCAGTAGTTTTACAAATTTTAAAAAATTTCTGACAGACGACAAGAAAGAGTTTCAACAAGGGACATGCAATATAATCATTGACTCAAGAATGCCTAAATTTCTCCAACTAAGGAATTTTGGAAGTATATAATAAGATTTTATGTCAAAGTGTTTAGTTGAATCAGAAACATCATAGCCCAATTGTTAACTTGCTCAGCATCATCCTTCTAGATATAATACTAAGAAAAGACTTTCCTCTATCTAAGCATGGCCTTAATAGAATGCTGAAGTAAATACGTTATTCAAATGTCATAGAGAAGGGAAAATACTGAATCCTAATTAAAAATGATCATGTCAATGCTATAGAACCAGTAAAGATGCTTCAGATAATTGATTATGTTTCAAAAGCTAAAACTGGCACATAGATCTTCTCCAAGATTAAGTTCGTCTCTACAAAATTTCCAGCAAACGTTTTCAGATTGCCTTTTCCAAATTTTTTTTTACAAGCTTTGGGAACATCTAATTATTTTAGAAACAGATTGAGCAGGCCTTTGTTCGTGCTGTCAACAAGTAAATTATATTTATTATTGAAGAGTCAAGTTAAAAGAATAATTTGCTTATTCTGTTCTACCAAGACAACTGCATCAAGTAAATAATGCATTACCTCAACTCAAAGAACTCAAGTTATAAATATATTTAAGAATTCAATATGAAATAAAACAGATTAAATCAAACAATTATTCAAAGCCAGAAGCAAATACATACAGTCTGGATTGGTTCAGCAAGCACCTCCCAGCACTGGTTCAAGTCTTCACTCAAGCGAGCTTTGTTAACCTAAATTGCAAATTACACTATTACAAGAAAGCTCAATGGGGAAACAAAATCCTATTGCCTTTTCTCTAGATTTCATACAAAACATGAGAAACTTGCTCTATAGGCATGCAAATAGTCATTAACTGTGTATGCATCCTACTCAGATAAACAGTATAGTACAGTTAACCTAACAGTTGAGTCAATCAAAATGTATCACCTAATAATGCATAATTTCCTTTAAATAAAGATAATGATGCATGTACTAAGAGAAAAGTAACATAAATCCCATATTGCGTTGAATACCTGAAGCTTCCCTATTCCTTGAAGTGTGCTTTTGTAGGCCAGAAGAGAATGACCTATACCTACACCCATGTTCCTTAAGACAGTTGAATCAGTCAAGTCCCTCTGCAAAAAAGAAAAAAGGGATGAAAAAAAAAATGAATAATTGCGAAATATAGTTACTTGGTTTATTAACAAGAGCTCCTAACAATTGGACTATCACTGCCATTAAATTATACTAAAAGGTCATAGACTACAGTAGCTCAGATAACTGTTTCCACAGCATATTATTTGACAACATATATGTATTAATAAAACCCTCTCGGTGTCATAGTTAAGAATAATATCAATACCATAATCCATAATGACAAGAATAAAATTCAAAATCGAACTAAAGTCGGTCTTGCCTGCCAACGTGAAATCGGTAACTTCATGCTTAGCTGAGAGAAACCTCCATTAGCCACACCTAGATTACCTTCACTGTTCTCAAAATCAATAGGATTTACTTTGTGGGGCATAGTTGATGACCCAATCTCCCCAGCCTTAGTGATCTGCACAAAAAGTTTTGAAAATGAAAACCATCATTGTCACTCTAAAAGTACGGCACCATGCTCTGGTTACAGTTACTATATCAGAAAACTCACCTGTTTAAAGTAACCCAAAGATATATAGCCCCATAAATCTCTGTCAAAGTCAATTAATATATTGTTGAATTGGATGAGCAAATGAAAAATCTTGGCCATGTAGTCATGAGTTTCAATCTGTTAACCAAGTGGAGTAATAAAATCAGAAGGATACATAAGTAACCATTTAGTTAACAAGTTGGTGTGATCAGATGATTGACAACTGCAAGTGCTAACTTCAATTTTGTAAGTAACTATCACAAAACAAGAGAAGAGCTAAAAAAACTTAACTAGTAACAAGAGTTTCACTAAAAATTGAAGAAAATTTCCAAAACGATGTATATGTACATAACAATTGAAATAGCACAAGCCATAAAAAATTATATGGCTGTTAACAACCTCAAGATTTGGTTTTTCAAATTGCATAAAGATGTGTTAAACCTGAAAACAGAACCAAATAAGAAAACATGAACAATAAAAAGGATAAAACATACCTGAGCAACATAAGGATTAAAACTTAAACCAAGAGATTGTACAAACTCTTCTGCAATGTGAGGCCAGTTAACATCAGGATATGCAACAACATGTGCATTGTAATTTCCAACTGCACCAGCAAATTTCCCCAATATCTCAACCTGAGATAGTGCTTTCCTTTCTCTGCTTAATCTCACAGCAAATATTGCCATTTCCTTTCCCAAAGTTGTCGGTGAAGCTGGCTGGAGATAGTGCAGAAAAATTGCAAAGTTCAATCAAGACTGTTTAACAACGAAGATCTAGCAACTAATAAAGTGCAAAGTGCAATAATGCTAATGAATTGCAAGAGTGTTTCAAAAGGATTTGTCTACCATCTTTCATACAGCAGGAATTTGAAAGTTAAAAAACAAATTTATTGTCACAACTTCAAAGTTGAAGTAATTGCAATAGCCCAATATTACAATGATTCTCAAATACTCAACCAATGCACAAACTAACTTACCTGTCCATGTGTGCGCGAAAGCATAGGGATATGAGCATTATCTTTAGCCATACTACACAAAGCTTTAATTAATTTATCCATGACAGGAAACATGACAGAATCCATTGCTTCTTTCAGCATCAAGGCATGGGCCAGGTTATTTATATCCTCAGATGTGCAAGCAAAGTGAAAAAATTCAAGAACCTGTTGAAAAGGTTTAAGAATGAAGTAATCCATCAGAATTCATGATGTCAAACAAAAAGTAGTATGCAATCTCAGAGAACAAAGAAACACACAAAGTGGAATCTCAACCTTAGCCACTTCAGCATTCGATTGGCATTTCTGTTTCAAGAAGTACTCCACCGCTTTCACATCATGATTTGTCACCTTCTCAATGTTTTTAACCTCCAAGGCATCATTAACACTAAAGTCATCAATCAAGCTCTGCAAATAAGATTTAGCATCTTCACTGAAACTCGGAACCTCAATGACTTGAGGAATTTCAGAGAGCTGCAGCAACCATTTTATCTGACAGGAAGCATATATAGACACACACACACACACACAACATTAGAAAGGAATCTTCAAAAGAGAAAGTTGAGAAACAGAAAACAAAAAAGGTTCTTTAACAAAAAGGGTTTCAAAGGAAGGAGAAGGGGTACCTCAACAAAAACCCTATAATATATGAGGCCATATTCGCTCATAAAAGGAGCCAATTCCTGAACTTTAGGCCAATAACGGCCATCCAATGGGGACAAAGCTGTCAGAGTAGAAAGCTCAAAATCAAGGGAATGAGGTTGAAGTCTCAACATGTTGTGAGTAGTAGCATTGGATGTTTGGGTGCTGAGAAGGGCTTTGCAGGCACAGCCTCTGTGAGAGGGAAAAGAGAACGAAGCATAACAAAAACGAGGAGTGTGTGTTGTCGATATTTGAAGGTTGGTTACAACACTTTGCGGTTTGAAGCTCCAAACTTTGCAAGCGTTAGAGAGTGCCGCCAACTCCATCGAAACCGTTGTAGGACTCCGTTTCACGCAGTCACTCTCCTTTTAAGTGTAAGCCCTACTTTTTCTTCATCTTCATCTTCATCTTCCTAATAATAACTTTACCTTTACAAACACTGCTTCACGAAATTATACAAATTTATTATTATTATTATTAGGTATCCAATATTTTACATACTTACTACCATGATTTGATCATGGTATTTAATTATTGAAAACCTCGCTCTCAAGTCTCACCCCCTTGTAGTTGTAATCTTTGTTTTTTAATTTTGTACAATAATCTGTGTTATTTCTTTTTTGGATTTCTGGAACGGTTGATCCTTTACCACTTCATGTAGTAAGTCTTTTTTCTTCTCTTTTTATTATTTTAAATTGTAATAAAATAAGTTGATAACTTTAGTTAACATGGTTTGGGCCTTGGCCGCTGAATTCACCAAAGGATAAAGTTCAACAATCTTTGATTTAATGATAAATTATTCCCATTAAAATAGGTACCTATTTTGATTTGGACTAATATCATATTTTTTCATAAGTTCATTAATTTTTTAATTATAAATATTTTAAACATAAAATAATTTAATTAAAAAATGTACTAAGAGATTTTTTTTACAAACATAATTCTCGTAATTAACACCCTAAATTCAAATAATTAACATAATTAAGAGCTGTGTGCTTGCTATTATATGACATGATGATCTGACAACTATATTAATTCCTTAACGGGCGTTTGATATGAAAGAAATTTTTTTTATCAGAAAAAAAAAAATTCAGAGAATATGTGAATTTTTTTTTCCCAAATAAGTTTTGAAAAAGTGTTTGATAGGCCAAATTTTTTTCGAAAAAGTTGGATTACTTTTAGTGATGTTATGTTTGGTTAATTGTAAAATATTAAATTATCAAAGTACCCATTATTTTAAAATGAGACTCTGAGCTCATATAAAATAACAGAGTATTTTTATTTAAAAAAGTAAAATGAGATTTTGAGTTCATGGGAAAAAAAGGTTACCAAACATGGTCAAAAAATAGTTCACACCTCATTTTCCTATCATTCCAAACAAAATACTCATACCAAACAACTCGCAAGAGTTCTTTTATCTTGTCATCAAATTTATCTTCTTTTTTAAGTTTTTCAATACATACAACATAATTTTGTTTCGTTAAAGAAAATGTAGCATTCTTTCATTTTCCTTCTTTTTATCTCATGGCTCAACGATTTATTTTCTGAATTGCATGTTCAGACACTATTTTTTGAAATGCACTTCCTAAGTGCATTTGGTACTTCCGTTTATACCACTAACCAGTGACCCCAAAGCCACACTTACGCAGAACAGAGAGATGAAGCACAAAATCAAAAACTAATCAGTGGAGGCAATTAGACAATGGTAAGGGAAGCCCGAGCCAGGGAACCGCCATGCATCAAATGCGTTAAGACAATTAGATATTTAGGTAATTCTACTTATACCATCCTCACTTAACATATTTCTAACCAATGTGAGGTTCATGATTTCAAACGAAATATATGAATGTCTAAAGCTTCCCCCACTTTAGAACTTAAGTTATCATTGTCATGCAATATAACCTGTCTTTGTATAAATATAACCTGTCTTTGTATAACTTCTTCTACATGAGATGTTATAATACCACATTGAAGAACAGAAAATGAATGTTTAAAATGAACATATTTGAAAGGCAGAGTCTGAAATCAAGCTCTTTATTTGGAGAATCGCTGAGATTGGCATCCAAATCAACACTAAAGGTTTAATGCTTCACACGTAACCAGATGTGAAATTGGTGACAGTTTGGTGAGTTACATGCACAGCAGAAAGTTTTCATTTGAGTTTAACGGGCTGAGCACTTCCTGTGTCGAACTCACAGAAATTTTGATTTACATGCACTCTGAAAATTAAATTGATGCTGATGTCTGTCTAAAGTTCTATTACTTGTGAAGAAGCAAGAATCAGAAAAGAAAACTTCATTGAATGAATTACAGAATCAAATTGAAAATTTACATTGACTACTGATATATTTATATCAGTTATTAGCAACTAACTAACTAACTATAACAGAGTTATCTAACTAACTAATTATAATTCCCAATAGGTTCTTATCTTAAAAACAAATGATTTTCTTCCTTTTTTAGGTAAGGTACGTAGGACAACCCCTAATGGGTCCCAGGTGAGGATTAGGGAGATAGGGTGTGGAGGGATGGGACCTCCCACCTTGAACCCCACAGCCCTCTGGTGCACTAATTATCGTCAATACTTTGTTGAATTTAACGAAGTACCCAATTTACCGTAATGATAAGCTTATATTGCCTTTCGGTTGTCAATTGTGTTGGTTTGTGCTCTTTTACTTTAAGTCCAATTGAGCCAAGAGTACGAGAAGAGTCCAAAAAACCTAAAGCTCAAAGAGCTAGGGTTTTATGGTACCCATATAAATACTACTAAGTCATCAGTCTTCAAGTTCATTGAACAGTAAGCTTAGGTATAAAAAAGTACCCACACAGTTTCCTTTCTCTCGAGAGATAGTTTAGAAGGTTTAGAACCTAGAGAGATCTCATTGAGGCATAAGAGATGGGTTCGTGAGTTCGTGCTGTGACATGGAGGACACCGATTCGTGGAGCATCATCTATGATCTGCACTTCACAAGGTAAATTATGATGATCCGTTGCATCCCAAACTGCAACGGTCTAAAACGCTTTCAATTACGCCTACAAATTGGCCAATAAGAGGGAGGTAAAGAAAGAGACAGATCAGTCCAGAAACATTTTTGTAGAACCCGCAAAAACATTTTTAGGTATCAAAATAACATATAAATGTTTAATACGTGAAAAATAGTGGAAATATCTAAGTCTGGCCTTGGAGTTATCAATCCAGAAATGACAGCACCAGAACTGTTTTGTCTTTTCAGATGAATGTGCCAAAATTTCCCTTGAATCTCCCGATTAATTTGCGAGATAGACGATGCATTCATATATTATACGATAAGGACTTAGCTATAGAAAGCATGTATGGGCTCCACTTATTTTTAATCTAAGTTGCTGTTATTTTTGGGCTAATGACTAGTAAGGAGCTCCAAAGCTGATAGTAGCGTTACCCTTCATATCAAAGTGCAAGTGATTACCGGATGAAACAGTGGAGATCTCTCCAGTTATTCAAAACTCAGAAGTATAACCCTCAAACATACTGCAACCACCAAACAGGATTGGATCACAGAAATAAACATGGTATGTATATATGTCCTGTTATGATTCAGCAGTCATTGATCCCTCCTTTACCTTTTTGATTTGTACATTCTGTTGGATGTTAGACTGAACTTTCTGGCACTTCTGACTGTAACATATTTTGTTTTTGATAGATTTTAAAATAAATTTATAGATGCCAAATAATTCTTCCGATAAATTAATTAATTTAAAATCCATAAATTTGACACGTAAATCATCTGATCCTTTGTCACATCAGTACACTGAACTATGCATTCTGTCATAGTAAGATATTAATTTTAACCTTTATTCATGACTTTCAGGCTATTGAAGTGGGAAATGGTAAATGGCATGGTTCAGTTGGTGGCATAGTTTGTGCACCTATTGACAAAGTTTGGACCTTGGTCTCTCAAACTAAAAGACTGCCTGAATGGATGCCAATGGTAGAAAGATGCACAGCCTTGGCTGGAGATGAAGGTGAACCGGGCTACGTTCGGCTAGTTTCTGGTTTCATGTTTCCTCAACAAGATGGAGAAAGGTCATGGATCAAGGAGAGATTGGTTTCACTAGACTTTTCATCACATAGCTATGTCTACAGAATGGAAGCAAGCAATGTAGGTTTAGATGGATCTGTAAATTCACTAAAACTAGTTGACTATGGGGATGGATCAACTCTTATTCACTGGTTATTTGAGATAAACCCTTTACATGATGTATCTGAGGACAGCATAGTGGATTATCTAGGATTTCTCTATAAATCTTGCATTAATAAGATTGAGGGTGCTATAGAAGCTGCATCAAGAAATGTTTCACCAGGATAGTGAATATCTTTATTCAAACCACAAGCTTCTTTGCAATCCAGATATACGTAAAGTGGATTCCTTCTTCATTTTTGCCCCCCCCCCTCTTAGTATATAATTTGGAGTCATAATGTGAATAATGAATAATAAATGCCTGGAGATGGTAACTCATCCCTTATTTTATTCCATTTTTATGTTTCTTTAGTATATTATATGACAAAGGAATCACTTGGTAATGGGCATATGAATGATGAAATGAAAAATATGGTAATGGTTTAATTGGGAAAGGAGGGAGTTGAAGAAAGGAAAACTATTGTTAACAAAGGACGTACAGTTGTAAAAAAAACTGAAAATGTTCTTATCTGTAAAAATTGTTTTATTCTATAACTAAAAATAATTATATAGGCAGATAAATCTAAACCATTGAATAAGAACTGAACAGCAAGCAGTTGAATTTTGAACTGTGTGGACAATCTCCGTCGCTTAAAGGGATTCCCAACTAGCTTACTTGTATACAAATTTACCAAGTCCCTTAATTTGACACATGAAACATTGTGTCCATATCCTTTTAGTCTATCAAGTTTTGATGGACTATCAAAAACTTTTCCAAGGCTATTGTATCTAGCCCCGTTTATTCATAAAAAAATTGTCATAAAGAAATTTAACTTTTGAGGTAAACTATCATATTTAAATCGGTAAATATTACTACAGGTTCTTCCACTATTATAATATTCCTTTCTTTTTTTTAACTCCTTGGTCCCAGCTTCTGGTTTGCTTAATGAAGGCTATTGAGGTATTTGGTTAATTTTCAACCATATCTCTATGCAAGTGGATATGCAATGTGTTTACTTTAACATTGACAAAGGAGATGGCACCACTTTCAACCAGAAATTTTAGTTCGCAATTCAATTCAATACAAGAAAACAGTTACATAACCGTGCATTGCTTATTAAATTGGTAAACTAGGAGGATAAACTTCTTTTAGCAGTGGTAAGTAATCAAACTCTTAATTCCAACTAATTGTTGTAAAGAGATGTGAAGGATTGAACTTTATTATACAACACAAAAAATGTGAGGTGATTTTAGTGAAGTACAAACGCAGCATCATTTGACAGAGAATCAGAAAAATCAAACTGATAAAGATGTGCCATTTGAATCATTCAATGGGTTGAGATGGTACAAGACACTATCTGTACTATTCTCAAGCTTTTAAACATCCAATCAAGGTCATGAAGTGGATGAACCGAAAGCCATGGCCCAACCATAAAATTTCCTAGTCATGGATATCTGATAGTCTCTCTAAATGTGTATGGATCATCACCCACTGCTACAATCCAACGTGGTATCTTATATCTTCTGGAAGAGAGGAGTGAAGTTTCAAATTTACACATACAGGGGAAAAAGATGGGCAAGGAAATTAAGAAACATGCTCTTGGTAATGAGAAAAAACAAGTATTTGCAGCTGAGCAGTATTTTTCAACTCACAAAAGGGTTTCTGTCAGCTGAAAATAACATAAATTGTTTACATCGAAGAGGACATCTGAAAGCTACATTGTGTAGCATGCAAGAAAACTTGGTAAAATCTAAAATACATGGCTAGCCTTATTTAGTAGTCACCTACCTACCTTTCGTAAAACGACATAACATCAAAGATTGTCCCATTATATAATTTTAAGGTGCTTGGCCATGTTCAAACTAGAGGAGATTAATAAGGGTCAGTGAAGAATTGCTGAAGAGAATGAAGCCACGCCTTTTGGCAATTTTTCTGGTGGCTCTTTCATTTACACCATTTGTTCAGTCCTTGGTGCGTCATTATAAGTTTAGTGTAAGTACGCTTCTTATGCTCTCAATTTTGCAGGTTCATTATAAGTGTAATGAGACAAAAATTAATAAGAAAAACGATTGGTACTATTTAAACTTAGTGAATATTGTTGAAAGTACCCTGCCAATCTTATAATAAAATCACTATTTACTAGGCATTTGTAGGATAATGAAAATAAAGGTGAAGTGGAGACACATTGCTATCTAGGAATCCCAATGCCTCGTCTATACAAAAATATAGGAAAACAAACAATTCATGTTGGTCAATATGTACAGGTAGTCTTGAAGAATACAACAAAGCTTTGCTCAACAAAATCTTTGGTCACAGTCAATGGACAATTCCCAGGACCAACTCTCCGTGCAAGGGAGGATGATACTGTAATTTTAAGGGTCACTAACCACGTTAAACACAATGTTACAATCCACTGGTGAGAATTTAATTTCTACTCGTCAACAAATTGCAAGGAACTGAGAAATTTGGCTTTAAAATAGTTGACTAGATCATCAATTTTGGACTTATGACAGGCATGGAATAAAACAGCTTCGAACTGGTTGGTCTGATGGGCCAGCATATGTCACACAATGCCCGATCCAGCCAGGGCAAAGCTATGTCTATAACTTTACCATCACAGGTCAAAGAGGCATACTTCTGTGGCATGCACATATCACTTGGCTAAGGGCCACGGTGCATGGTGGCCTTGTCATTTTGCCTAAACGAGGCATTTCTTATCCATTTCCAAAACCTGACAAAGAAAAGATAATCATTCTAAGTAAGTTTTGTGTTATTGATTCAACTATATATGTTTCCTTAGCACATGTGCATTATATTCCTTTATATTGACTTCAATTTTTATATGAGTTCTAGGTGAATGGTGGAAAGCAGATGTTGAAGTTGTGCTAAATCAGGCCTCAACTTCTGGTCTGCCACCGAACATATCAGATGCTCATACCATCAATGGTCATCCAGGACCAGTTCCCGGTTGCACTTCTCAAGGTATTTTAAACTCGCTAATTTTTCCTAGCCTAATATGAACAAATTATTTTCATCCCTTTTCTTCAAGCATCAATCATGTTATGCTACTAGTTGTTTAGAGAGCGAGCCTCGTGCTCCTCAGTGACTGAAATGTCATGGGTTCATTTCGTGAAAACAGTTTCCTTACAAATATTCACAGATAAGATTGCATATAAGGATTTCTCTCATCCCTATCCATCCTATTCGAGATTTAATGGGAAGTGATTTTCTTCAAGCATCAATCAAGTTATGATACTAGTTGATTAGATGACCTGTCATGAAACATTGAGCTTTATCAACCTGTGCAGGTTACACTCTGCATGTTGAAAGTGGCAAGACCTATCTGCTACGCATTGTAAATGCAGCTTTGAACGATGAGCTATTCTTCAAAATAGCTGGGCATAAACTAACAGTCGTTGAAGCAGATGCATCTTACATTAAGCCTTTTGAGACTGACACGATATTTCTGAGCCCAGGCCAAACCACTAATGTTCTTTTAACTGCTAACCAAGGTGTTGGCAAGTACTTAATAGCAGCTACTCCTTTCATGGATGCCCCTATTGGCTTTGACAACTTGACAGCAATTGCTACACTTCGCTACAAAGGCACACCACCTTATCCTAAAACAATACTAACCACCATTCCTCAACTGAATGCAACTCCATTAACGAATAGTTTCATTGATTCTCTTCGAAGCCTAAATTCAAAAGACTACCCTGCAAGAGTTCCATTAACCATAGACCACTCTCTTTTCTTTGCCATAACTGTTGGGGTTGACCCATGTGCTTCATGTCTCAATGGGACCAAGCTTGTCTCCGCTATTAATAACATCACCTTTGTGTTGCCAACCATATCACTTCTTCAAGCACATTACTATAACATAAAGGGTGTTTTCACAGATGATTTCCCAGCAAACCCACCCATAGTTTTTAATTACACTGGTACTCAACCGGCTAATATCCAGACCAATAATGGCACAAAACTTTACAGATTGAATTTCAATTCAACTGTTCAAATTGTTCTGCAGGGCACTGCAATGATAGCACCAGAAAATCATCCCTTTCATTTGCATGGGTACAATTTCTTTGTTGTTGGACAAGGGTTAGGGAACTTTGATCCAGAGAAGGATCCATTAAGCTTTAATCTTGTTGACCCAATTGAAAGAAACACAGTGGGGATACCAAATGGTGGATGGACAGCAATCAGATTCAGGGCAGACAACCCAGGTAGCAACAAGTCTTTGTCTTCTTCTTTTTTGTCCATTTTTCCCATTTACTTTTTTGGGAATACAAATAAGTATCACTCACTTTTTTGTATTTGCACGAGATAATTTTGTGTGTGCATATATGTCATGTGACATAAGAAATTTATTCCCCTTATTCTTTATATATCATTCACCTCTATTATACTAGATTTAAAGCTATGTTACAGATATGATAAGTATATCATCAATATTTAGTTTGTCAGAAATTTAGATTACGTTGCCTAAATTCTTGTTTATAAATGTGTGTGTGAAATGTGAAGGTGTTTGGTTCCTGCATTGCCACTTAGAAGTACACACCACATGGGGACTTAAGATGGCATTCGTGGTTGACAACGGGAGAGGCCCCAATGAATCATCTCTTCCACCTCCCAGCGACCTTCCAAAGTGTTAAAAGAGTTTCTGGAAACCGTGACAGACAGTGTACACTACAGTGGAGAGGTGATGTCACAGCCTAAGAAGGAGACATCAAATTGTTTGTGGCAGTTTCTGAAGTTGTATTTGTAGCAGAAATTAATAAAAATTTGTTGTAGATAGCAACTCGAATCTTTTTTTTATTTTATTTTCGAGTTTAGGATAAAATGAGTGATTCTCGGGTGCATAAAAATTTAATGTATGTGCTTGTTAAAAATTTAAATTTATTAAATAGTGTAATAGAATTCGTATGATTTTCTTCTTCTCTATTTTTGTCCAACTTGAGAACAATGTCTAACCGGTTTAATGTATCATCAACCTCCTGAGTCCTGACTCCTGACTCCTGAGCGTGCCAATATTAATATGTTGACCTATTAGTTTGGTTGGTGGCTGTTGCTTAAATTTAAGGAAAGAATTTAAAAAAACAAAACAACAAATAAAAAGACAACGCGCCAGGTAGGGATCGAACCTACGACCTTCAGCTTAGGAAACAGACGCTCTATCCACTGAGCTACAGGCGCTTATGATTATGTGTTGATTGAAATATATTAAATCACATGCATACACGTAAAGAACCATTGTTAACACCAAATATAGGAACTGGATATTCAATCACAAGTTCTTATAATATAATCATGTGCAAAAAGAACTTTAGTGTAAGGGTTGGCTTTTTATGCAGTTAATGCAGATAAGTTATTTGCAGTTAGGGGTGAAAGTGAGCTGGGCTGGGCCAAGCTTTGCCTCGAAAAGCCCAAGCTTACGTTAAAAAATTTCAATCTGGCCTGGCCCAAGCCTAGTACGAGTCTAATTGTTAGCCTGACTTGGCCCGTTTATAAAAAAACAAATGGCCTGGCGTAGCCCATTAGCCTGTTAATTTTTAACTTCTAAGCAGAATCATGAATCAACTTTACAAAATACTCAAATTATGTTGGTAAACCAAAAATCATAATTTCAACGTCCAAACAGAATCATGAATTACAACAAAACTCATACAATCTGCATTTAAGTCACTTTCAAAAGCAAAATGCTCAAACTAAATAACATATATTTCATCAGATCCAACAAACACATCATGATGCTTGTAGTAAGTATAACCTCTCCCAAAAATATTTTAATATATTCATATACACAATCTAACATGTTGAGATGTTGATTCCTCCTACGTAAGAAATAAAGTCAGATTTCTATTTAAATATAATAGAATATAATTAAGTTATAAATAATTGCAAATGATTAAATTTATATGTTTTGTTTTATCTTCAAGGCATAGTTATTCTATTTTATTTAATTTAAAATAAATAATACAATATAGGTCGGCCTGTAGGCTTATAGGCCAGACCTTGTGAAAGTGGGCCTACGACCTTTTTCTTAAACAAGCTTTTTCAAGGCCCAAGACCGGCCTATTTTACGAAATATACTAGGTCAGGTTTGGCCTGATGTAGGCCAAGCCGTAGGCCCCTGTAGGCCGGCCCGACCCAGTTTCACCCCTATTTGCAGTAAGCTCAATACGACGTCGTTTTGGGACGAAAATCATGGTATTTTTATAATTTTAATTTATTTTAGGGTTATAATAGTCTTTATATTTATAATTTTTTAAGATTTCAATACTAAAACGACGTCGTTTTGAGAATAAATGTAGATAATTTATCTGCATTAACTGCAGGAACATTTTCCCCTTAGTTTAAATTAAAACATTATTTATCTTATAGTATAACGAAATTGAAATTTTTAATTAAGTAACATGGACTAATTTATATAATCAATAATTATTTATGAGATAAGTTATTCTACCTACTATTTTTCTGTCTACCTTTGCATACCACCCTCCAACATTGTTAGATTAGAATCTTAAGAAGAGAGAGAAAGATAAATGTTAGTTAAGATTCTGATCTAACGGTGTTTTAGAGTGGTAGACAAAGGTATGTAGAATAACCTATCCCATTTATTTAATATCATCACTCATAGGAAATAAGAAAGCTTTAATATATTATTATTTTTCCCCATAAATGAAGTATCTTTTAACAAAATTTTACATCAATGTTTTGAGAAATCCCATACTTTGTAATCTATTTCATTACAATTTAATTGGATTTTGGAAAACACTGCATGGGCAAAGGTTATGGGGGAAAAAATCTTAATGAAAATTGAAGAGTACTAGTTAATAGTTATATGATTTAGATAAATAATATACTCTATAATTTCTATAGTCTTCTAAAATATAAAATGAGGAAATTAAAAAAAAAATTAATAGCAAATTGTTAATAGAAAATTGTTAAAAAAACTAAACTATATGATTTAGATAAATACTATACTCTATAATTGCTATAGTCTTAAGGAACGTAAAAAATTAAAATATTAATAGGATTCACTTAAAATTTATTTAGAGAGACAAATTATTAAATTTCACATAATAGACAAAATTGCTCTTATAAAAAAATTGTAAGTAGATATTACTTTTTTTTTTTGGTAAATAGATATTACTTTTTAATGAATAATTATCTGATTTTATTGATTGATTAACTGTTGTAAATAAAATTATATAAGAACTAAATTAAGTTATAAAGAAATTTGTAAATAACTATTACTTTTTGTTAATTATTTCTTATTCGAATTTAATGACTAATAATTTAAATTTATAATGATGTTTTATATTAAAAATCATGAAGTCAATCATAAATTTTCCAAAAGAAATTATTAGTGTTTAATATTTCTACCAAGCAATGAACCTGAATAAATAAATTTATTTCGTAAATACATGTGAAATTATAAAGAAATTTGTTATTGTTTATTATTTTCTATTGAGTGATTATTTATTTTCGATCAGTGATTACAAAATAAATTTTGTTATATTAGTTATTACATGTTAATGAAAAGAAGAAGAAGAAAGAAAGCCAATTCATTAAGTGAATATCCTTTATATTAGATTTTATCTAGGTTTGTTGTTTCTTCTGTTTCATTTACGATGTTGAGCATAGGCGAGCGTAAAATCTTCATTGGCATGAGTAAGTGTCATCCTTGTTGAAAGTGAGAAAGGAGAGAACAAATCCTCCCATATCTAAATTTTGTGTGAAAATTGGTGAAGATTTACCTGTGACATGATAACTACGGCAGAGATTCATAAATTAAGATGGAAAATTTAAAATTTAAAACTCCGAAGAAAGCAATGGGTACACAGGGCCTTCTTTTGCAGATCAGGTAAAGAGGACCTAAACTAGAAAGAAAAAAAAAATTATTATTTTTCTGTTCCATGAAATGGAATTGGATAACGAAGGATGAGTGAAGAGAGTCCCTATCTTCTGCGGCATAAGACTAAGTTAACCCAAAAAAAAAATCCCTCTTATCTAAATTTAGAAATTCAAATTCAGTTGTGCAAGTGCAATGGGTACACTCAAGAGAAATGATCTTTAAATTATTGTTAAAGATAAAAGGATTTTTTGAAAGAAAAAATTTGAGAAAAAAGGAAGATAGATGGTCTCACTCTAAAGGGCAAGAGGATTAGGAAAAAAATGGAAAATAAATTGGAAATAAGGGAAAATATTTTCTCCTTTTAAAGGAAAAAATTGTTTTTCTACTAGTGACTCATAGTATAAGTGAGATCTATAAAATAGTGAAGAGAAAATTTTTTTCCTATTTTAAAAAGAAAATATTTTCCCTTGAAAATAATTGAAGAGTAAAGGAAGTATGGGGAATGGTCAAATGGGAGGATGGAAAGTAGAAGACTCAACAAATTTTGGACGAAAACATTTAAAATTATTAAAACGAATACAGCTGGCATAGATGAGAAAGATTAAATAAGAGTTACTATAAATGAAAAAGAGGAATAATTGTATCAGAGAAGCTTTTCTTAAGAAAATGACTACTTATCAATTGTATATGATATAAAGCTTTAATAGCTTTTCTGTTGTTATAAATCAGAAAATTTATAACAATATTTATTTTTATCAAGATATGATTTTGTATTTTTGAATTTCTTTTATTTTAGGATATGCCTCTCTATATTAGTATAAATATATTTGCTACAATTTTTCTCATTTATAATAACAATATATATGAGAAATGAGGAATCCATACTATAATAAATGGCATTTTAGGAAAGCGTCCGAATTCATGTGAAAAAATGCACGTGGGACCTATTTCTTAAAGTTATCATTAACTGTACAATTTTTGTTTTAAAAGAAAAAAGAAAGAAGAAAAGGAGGGGACAAAAGAATAGAGCACGGGTGGGATCCGCGGTTCCTTATTTTTCATATATAACTTTGGGAAAAGCCAGTTAATTAATATATAAATCTTTAAGAAGAATTCGATTGGAATGAAATACAAATTGATTCGTACTATTTGTTGATCATGTCATGATACCGGTTTTACCTATCTTTTTCTTTCTTTATTTATTTAGATGGAAATGAATTCTCTCATGTGTCAAAAAAATATAATATGATTATATGGAAAGATCATAATCATACAAAGATAAATCAACGGTTATGATTTCGTAACTATTTATTTTATCATTTTTTTTTTCTCATCTTTTTTTACCATTGATTCACCTTTGTATGATTATGACTTTTCACATGACATGATCATTTGAATTTTCACATCCAAATTCACATTAAGTAGTGTGAGCGACTTGTTTTGCCCAGCCCACAAGGCACAACATATATTAACATTCACCAGGCTAGATCATCAATACTCCTAATGTCAGGCCCAAGAAAACAAAATAAGAAAGAGATAATTTGTCGTGGTCCGGGACTACCATTTTTTGGGTGGTCCCTTAGTGTAAATGGAAGGGTAAAATTGAAAAAGAAGAAAAATAATAAGAGTAAAATGAGAAAGAAAAAATTAGTGTTATGAGAGGGAACACCAAATTATTAGGGAATCCTGCAACATATTAAATATTTGCAAGCACAAGCACTCCACTCGATTATTGTATAAGAGACAAGTATTTTTTCTTATTATTGTTTTTAATTCTTTATATTTTGGGTCTTTATATTCTGTTTAAGAAAAAAATATTCAAAAAATAACAACAACACAAGCACTCCACTCGATTAAGGTTAATTTGATATTCACACGACATTACAATTAGACCCCCAATCAGGAGGTAATTTATACTTTCCCCAGAAAGAAGTTTGTATATTTTACTATTTTTACCTCAATCTTTATTTAAACCTATTTGAATACCAAGATTAAGGATGGAACTTTGTCGTTTGTTATAGGCTTATAGCAACTAGTTAGTGTGTGACACTCCAACCTTAACAAAGCTACCTCTCACGTCAAATCCTCCTCATTCTCCCTTTTGAACTCAGCACACAACCATAAAGAAATCAACACTGATTCCTACTCTGTTAGTGTACACACCCAGTTTGCACTCTCTGTTAATGTACCTGTTACTCTACTTGTATGTGTATGTATGTATGTAAAATGCATTTGCTTGCTTCGTCACGAAGAAACGACAAGGGGAAACAGTTCCCCACTTTTTCCTTTGCTCATTGTAAAGAATCTCTCTCTCTTTTTCTCTATTGGATCTTGGCTTTCTGCACCTTCTTCCACCCTCTTGCTCTTGTGTTCTTATAACTAACTTATCTCTTTCCCTGGAGCTCAACTTTGTAGGCTCACCTTAAAAAAAACAAAAAAAACAATTTTTTTTTTTGGGGGGATTAAGAGTTGTTATCCTATTCCTGGTTTCGTCTAAAAACATCTTTATTGTTTTAGTTTCAGAATTATCTCTAGAATTATACTCACGCATCAAAATTCTCTAGATTTTTCCAAGATTCTCTACGATTCTAAAAGATTTGACTTTTATAAGTTCTCAAGCTTGTCTTGATCACATGTAAAAGAGATTCTGAATTCTGTGCGCCTTGTCAATCAAACCTCTATAATTTATTCTTTTTCTTTTATGTGCTTCTCTTCTGTGTTTATGAGCATCCCTTTATAGTTCTTCTTCTTCATTTCCCTCTCTTTAGGGACTTCATTTATGTAGGAGAGTCTTTGTATGCTTGTGGTTTAAGGTATGGAATTGGAAACCCTCTATGCCCCTTGTTTTATGTCAAGTTCAAATTGGTTTGTCCAAGAGAGCCAGAGCCAAGAATGGAGTAGAGAAGATAATAAGAAGTTTGAAAGTGCCCTTGCCATATATGATAAGGACACCCCAGACAGATGGCTGAAGGTTGCAGCCATGATCCCTGGGAAGACTGTGTGTGATGTGATCAAGCAATACAGGGAATTGGAAGAAGATGTCACTGAAATAGAAGCAGGGCGTGTTCCAATTCCTGGGTATATTGCCTCTTCTTTCACCTTTGAGCTTGTTGACAACCACAATTATGATAGATGCAGAAGGAGGCCTTCAACTGTTAAGGGTTCTGATCAGGAGAGGAAGAAAGGGGTACCCTGGACTGAAGAGGAACACAAGTGAGTTTCATCAATTTAGAATCTCCAATTTGATCTTTTACTCCCTTCTCTAGTTGTTTTTAGTCAATACCAGGAAAAGATGTTGATATGAAAATTCTGCTAATGAATCATGATTATATTTTGCATAAGCAATTCAACCAGCACCAAAACAATTAATCAAGAATTAAATATTTTTATTTTTCAAGGATTAATCATTGTTCATTTCATTTTCCATGAATTACAATTTTTTTATTACTGATCCAATGGTATGTTATCCCACCGGCCTCTTGACTTATATACTAACTGTTTTGTTAATCTAACAAAGTAGATATATTATGATTTATCAGTGAGTTTGTGTAAGTAAATTAATTTTGAACTGTATGCATGCCCCAAAACAATTGACATGTTAAACATAATTGGAGTTGGTTTAGGTGTTGCCTTTACACCTGTTACAGTGTGCTTGTTATTGCTTTTTAATCTTTATCTGTAGGGCTGCTATTTAAGCTGTTTCAATCTCTATGTCTTTTGGTTTCTGTGCTTGACTTGGGTATTAAATTACAGACGTTTTCTGAGGGGACTCCTAAAGTATGGTAAAGGGGACTGGAGAAATATCTCTCGTGATTTTGTTGTTACAAAAACTCCCACCCAAGTAGCTAGCCATGCCCAGAAGTACTACATAAGGCAAAAGGATTCTGGAGGAAAAGATAAAAGGAGACCAAGCATCCATGATATAACCACTGTTAATCTATCAGAAACTGCCACCTCAGATAAGAACAAGCCCATGTTATTCAATGTGTCTCCTATGCTTGCATCGCAGCAGAAGCTGACTAGCATGTCAAAAGTACAACTGGACTGGACTAGTCACTGCAATGATGGATCACTCATGATTTTCGAACCAAATTGTGATGACTTGTTTATTTCATCTTCATCTGATATCGCTTCCAAGACCCTGAAACTGCAAGGGGAGGATCTTTATGCCATGCTCAAAATTCCCGGTTTCAGGACAGCTTCTAGAGACTTCAATAAAGAAGCTGTTTTTGGTATTCATGCACTGTAATGCCAACTCTGATGATGTTAAAAAACAAACCAATTCCACAGCATAAATCATTGTTCTGTAGGATTAATATAGCTGACCTGAAGCTATTCTAGGTTCATGAATATCCTGAATGGAAACTGCAATAATGTTTCAATCCTAAGAACTCAATTTGGAATGGGCTTCTTTTGAATTTTTCCACTTTATCTCTCAAGTCTGACAGTGACCATGTCTGTTTCTTTGGAGACTCAATCTGCATCATATGATGTACCATTCGGGCATTCTAAGTCTAAAGAGCAACATGACAAACATCACCATAATAATTGAATTCTATTATATCACATGTATATTAATAAAGGTTTAACATGTAATTTTCTTTTAAATCAGAAGCCCTCATTCATATCCAATAGGACTTTCGACCAAATCAATGTAACTTTTGAAACATTTTATCGGATGGATGCAAAAATCAAACATTTTACCAAAATAATACAAGATATGTATGGGAGCATGTACATTTACGTCGCACATGGAATGTGCACAATTTAGGCATGGGGTAAATGAGCAACTGCTATATAGCGCGTGCTGCAAGACACATAAATCACGTATGAGAAAGATGCACGTCTTGCTGCACAAACCACGGGAGCGTTCATTCATCCATACGCAAATCGCACACATCTCATATACGATTTGAATGTGCACGGTCTCGTTGCATTGTTTTAATAAAATATTCAGCTTTTGCATCAATCCGATTAAATGTTTCAAAATTTATATCAATATGGTGAAAAGAGCGGTCCAATAAACTACAAATTGAACCGCATAATGATACCAATGTTCTGCCCTCAATATTTAGGGCAACTCTTAAAGTTTATGGTTTCCAATATTAGCCTCAGGGTAGGGCCAGAATATAAGAAATAGTAGTAACCTTAGTTAAAATGGGATATTAGATATTCCTTAATTTGAAACTCCTATTTCTCAATATGAAATACTAATTATGTAACCTCTGCATAAAATCTTGAGCAGCAAGACTCACTTGAACATTTCCATTGAAAATGTGGGCTGCATCTAGTATAGTAAGCTTTTTGGTCTTTGAAATCGTTATTAATCATTTGCTTTCTGAGAGAAATATGGCCAAGTTGACCATGACTGATCAGCATCACTTTCCTAGTCGAATCTGAGTTTGCATTCCACTTACTTAGAATCTCATGCTTCATTGGCTTAGAATATAAGCAGATTCACGTAGGCATGCCAATGTGGTTCACACTATCCCAGTCACCATTTATTAATCTCGATTCTCAGCCAATACAGTTCTGCTTTTTCCTTTCATATTTCAGCACTTGCCAATCTACTTTTCTGTGGTGGCAATACTGTTGTTCCTTCTTTTACAGGTCTGGTGAACCATCATGCTTTATTTTGATTCTTTCTTTTACTTGAGAGCCCAATAACATATTCTTGCGCTATGCACGAGAATGAATTCTCTTATGTTAAAATTTTATGTGATTTGATTATGTGAAATTTTTGTATTTATCTCTTTCTTCATTAATAATAATTGGATCTCACTTAATTAATGCATGTGAAGAGAGAGATAAACACAAATTTCACAGCATCAAGTAACGTGAAATTTTAATATGGAAAGATCTACTCCCCACTATTCACTATGCACATTTTGTTCATACACATACTTTTACTTTACTAGAAATAAAGCAGCCGACCTTGGTTTACATAGTGCAGATTGAGCTCTTCAAACTACTCTTCTTTGATCTGGAAAGATACTTTATGAGAATAAGCATACTGCTTTCTCAGTTTAGATTAGAATTGCTTCTTTTGATTTTGTTTTCAAAAATTAATGGTACTAGGTTTTTTTTATTCAAAAAAATTCTTAACTTTCTCTTCTTCTTTTTCGTTTTTTATAATAACATAAAGTTTTACCAAATGGATTCTAGGTCATGTGTTACGAATAGTCCCTATCCGTACCTAAAAAAAACAGAACACTACCAATATATCTACATATGTATAAACAGTCCCTGTAAAATATCATAAGCATCATCATGTAAAGAACCTTGAGATACATCACCCCAAAAGCTAGTTCAAGGGGTGGGAGTGTCCAAGGCCATATTAGTTGCTCATCCAATCAATGTGGGACTATATATCTCAACACGCCCCCTCATGCAAGAGCCCTTTGGGCTAGAAGCGTAGAATTGCACAGGTCCAATTTTTTTTTTAGTTTACCTTTTTGTGCTTTTTTTTATTTTAATTCCACTTTAAAGTGGGAGGCGGTGAGGGCTCAAGCTCTGAAACCATGTAAAGAACCTTGAGATACATCACCCTTTTTGGGGTGGGAGTGCCCAAGGTCTTATAAAGGCCATATTAGTTGCCTATCCAATCAATGTGGGACTATATATCTCAACACATTATTTCAATTATTTTAGTAAACTGCTTTCCAAAACTGTAGTTCTTTTAATTTAATTGTTCTATTGATATAGTATAACAATAATTAAAACATTTTTTTTTTAAGTAGTCTTCTCATTGGGATCGATTCCTAACAATATAAATCAAAATTAATTTTAGTAGCACGTAATTAGTCAAATAGAAAACAAGTTTAAGTTAAACTTTGAGAATTAGAGGTTCTTTGTCCATAGTTGACAAAATTAAAACACATTCTGATATAAGTTGACAAAACTGCCAAATACATTACCTATATCTATATAATATAAATTCTTTGTCCATAGGTTGGTTGGCACCGCCTTCTTATATTAATTCAGAGAAGCGCAGTCCAAACTCCAAACCTTTAAACCAAATTTGACCAAACATCTGAGAAAGACAACGCTACAAGTTGGGCATGTTTATCCTTCTTTAGCAAAATATTTTCACTATTATTGAATAGTCGGTACGTCATTTATTAAAAAAGACAAAAAAAAAATAACTTAACTATAGTCGTTTATCCTATTTTTTTTATAAATAATAACATATGAGTCTATTTTTTATTATTTAAATAAAGAAATACTTGTTAATTGTTATAGACTTATAGGGTACTGAGAATATAAAAAATCTTAGGACAATTTTTGTGTAACTACTTTTTTTGGACTAACGTCAACAACGACAATGGATTCGGCTAGCTGTACTTGTCACCATGCAAATTGTTCTATTGTACTTTCATTTGGCCCACGTATCCATGAATCCCTATTAAACAAAGACATAGATATGGAAAAATTTTAAATAATGGAAATTTTTCTTTTCTTTCTATCTTTGTTTTTGTTTTATTTTTCTTTATATCCCAAAATTTTAATCTTTTGACAAAGATGTACATATATGATATATCCGCTGCACACAAGATTTTCTCCATAGATACATGTACATACAACGCTGGTAAAGTTTCATCTCATATATGCTTAATATATAAATTTTGGTGGAGATCGCATTCCTCTATATAATATTTGAATGTTAGTTTAATTTTATTGATGTGAGACATAAACTTAAATGTCTACGGCATCTATTGTTGGGTGTGAAAAGAAAGAAAATTAAATGATAAATAAAGCGGACTAATTTTTATTACATCTTTCCAAAGTCACAAAATAATAAAATGTCTGGGTTAATTTAATAAAATTTAAATTCAACCTTTTCTTTGTTGGGCCTAGCACGGCGAGACCGTCTATTATGAGTTAAGTGGACAATGACATTAAGTGAGCTTGAAACATCACAATGAAACTCCAAAACCTTAAAGCATTGAATATACGGATCTTTTTCACTCAATCATTTATATTTGGATTCCTCAACATTTTTAATCTAACTTAATCGAGCTTGAAGTCAGGTTGTCTGTCTCAAGTTGATCTTATCGTATGACTCAAAATTTAAATTATTTTTTTATATTATATATAATCACCTAAGGATGTAAACTGTCCAATGATCAAAAGAACCGGATATGTACCCCACAAGAGGTATAGTATGTCAATTTAAGGATATTCTTAGGGGTAATGGTATAGACCAAGACTCTTACGAAGTTTTTCAAATACTGTGTAACAATGGTGGATTGTGTCTAGTGGCTATGACAGTTCTTTGATTAAGCAGAGTAACAACTCATAAAGTAATAATATACTAATGATATCTTAGTGAATGAGAAGGAGTATTTATAGGTGGGGTCTGACCTTGAGAGGGTGTAAGAAAGGATGGGATAAGAGAACCACCGTATAAGGGTCTTGCTTGGGCAAGACGTATCGCATTCATTGTCTATATACAATGACTTGCTTGTAAATGAGATGAGGGATGGTGCCTCTTGGGACCCCCTTTGAGGGTGTCCATTGTAAGCTTTAAAGTCATGGGTTCGTCATATTGCACCCAGACTAAGGATGTACCCAGACCAAGTCATGAAAACGGAGCCGCTTGTACTAGATGCAAGTCTTAAGAGTTTTTAACAGCTAAACTTTGACTGTAAATTTTATTGTGATCTAATAATTCAACATCATTCTATTTAATAGAAAGAGATAATAACGAAAAATAATATTATTATTGCTACATATTTTTGAAAGTAATGAAATTTCCATTATTAAAACTAGAGAATGATATAATTTAACATAAATAAAGACAAAAAGATTTTAAAAAGTTCAATGTATATAAATATAATTTATAATATTTGCTAAACATTATGGATTAATTATATTTTAATGTATGTTGATAAAAAAAATTTCAAAATTGTAAATTTATTCACCACTAGAATCAATGCAAAATGAGCTAGTTACTAAAGGTTCTTATAGCCACACTTCATACTCACATGCTTGAGCATAATGAGCTAGGCAATATGATATTTTATTACATCCATGTGGTATATAGCTATAATCAAACCAGGATGGAATAAGGCAAATTTCTATATCTATGAATAGTCTCATTATACGAGTAGTCTATCACATTGCGCTGAGATCGACACGGCACACGGGACATAAGATGATACTCCGATACGTTAATTTTAAAAAATATTATATTTCAACACGTTTTGATATTAAATAATATTTTAATTTATGTAGTGTATATTATATTTAATATTCAATAATTTAACAAAAAAATAAAGTTAAACTTATAATAACCATCAATTTTGTAAAGAAACATAAGATATTATAAATATTTATATTAAACTAAATAAAATAGTAATCATAATCCGACGAATCTAATAAATAAAACTAAAAACGCAA